ACCATACTCATTTTCGACTTGCACCAATATGATTGGACCACCATTTTCATAGAGAAGACTTTCGAAGCGTGGCATTAGTTTCTCATACCAAATGCGAACCTCTCTCAAATAATCTACCAACACAATTGCCCAAGATTAGAAAACTTTGCTATTTTCATAAGAGAAAACACGCTTCACATACCCGGATCACTTGTACGAAGTTTGATTTTTGGATACTTTGATAGAAGCCAAAATGGAAATCCTCCCTGAAAATCGAAATACGCATAGTTTATTCAGTTGGCGTTTCAAGATATTGTGTGCAATATAAATCTTCTCGAACCATATCACGTTCGGCACAAATATATGGACCGGGCCTCAGAATAACCAGCAAATCTTCCTCAGCCGCCAGTCGAATAAACTGCTCAACATCGGCGATTCCATCCCAAACATAGGTGCCGTCGCGAGGATTGTGCAACGACCATTCAACATAAGTGGTAACTGCATTCAAACCCGATGCTCGAAGTGTGCGCAACTTCTCGCGCCACGTTTGTGGCAGAGCTCGAAAGTAGTGGAACGAGCCTGAAACAAACCGAAACGGTTGACCGTCTTTCAGAAAGCGATTGTTTTCATAGTCCACACGAAACGATCTCTCCTGCGTGCGAATCTGGAATGAATTCATTTCAATCACATCTTTCTCAAATATTTGAAATAATCCGTAACTCGAACGCACAGCTACTATCCACTTGGTTCCGACAACAGCAAAAATCAAGATCAGTGAAAATGTTCGCATTGTCTGGAGAGAAAAAAACGAAAAACCCAAAATTCATTTTCTTTAAACAAAATAAAGCGAAGAAAGCCATTTACAAGATGGTTGGTTTTTGCGCTCTAACTCTGCAACGTATCAAGATATCGAAAATCCCATGGAATTTGCATGTACATTCCAATGCGTGCAGTTGCAACTGTAACTATGTATATATTTGGCAGGCAAAGAAAAGGGCAGCAAATAGCGTGGATTTCCCTTGTTTTCTTAGCTGTCGCTGTCAAGAAGCCGCAATAAGATCGACACTCTAAAGTATGTCCGGCCTATGCACGTGCCTTATGTTTATACATATAAATATGTTCTACTTGACTTAGTTTTGTGGGGCAACTCAATATTGTGTGGCCATACGCCAGATAAGGACACCTCGATAATCTCAATGATTATTTTAGAAATATGATAAGCTTAAATGAAATGAATTTGAAAACTGATTAAAAGTAAGTAAGTTCAGAAACGAACAATGTATCAATAAATAAACCACGTTTCCTGCACTGAAAATGTCATTTCTTGTGGACCTTTCGGAATATTTACGTATTTATAATTATTTTTTCATTGAAATTTTTACGTCAATTGTGTACATTTTTTCCGGAGCTGCTTTTGATTTGAAATATAAGGGAAAACTAATTGAAAATCCCATAAGTTTTGTTGCGGCATTTCTGTTGAATTGCTTTGGATTAATTAATTATGATCCGAACATATGGAAAATTACCAGAAAAATATCGAAAATGATCAGAAGAATATTCAAAATGATCAGAAACTTTTTTATTAATTTGATCAGAAAAATTTGGAAATTAGCCGAGAAATATCTAAAATGATCAGAAACTTGTAATCTAAAATGATCAAAATTAAATGAGCCAATTGCTCATTATACATCTGGTGAGTACTTTCCACGGTTGGACTTTGCCCTATTTAATTTTAAATTGTTTTAAAAAGCCAGCTCCGATCATCGGTTGGGTGTATTGACTGTGATGGGTAAATTGCTTATTTCGATGAGTTGGATCGTTTTATTCAATGGAAATGTCAACTTGTCGATTATGATCAGTCTTGTCTTTGCTTTGCTCGGTGTTGGTAAGTCACTTTTATTGGCATTTCGAAGAAGATTGGGTTATAAATATTTTCTTCAATGTTCAATATTTTCAGCGGTTTCGTATTTGTATAGCTTATACAGTGCGCATATTTTTGGATTTGAACTGGATAGATTAGAACTGGCTTTCTATTCGTATTATGGAAATTTACTGTACCTCGGCATTCCACTCTATGTGGGTTTATTGATTCAACTCGCAATTCCATGCATGAAGAATTTATCGACGAACATTGTAAAATTTATATTGTCGCCAATTGTAGTCGTTACTACTTTAATGGTGTTATTTGGCAATGTGGGAACTATACCAAGAAATGTATTACTTGAATAAAAGTTTAATTTGGAAGGTAGCACCAGTTCCTCCATCCGAAACGGGGTCGATGAATTTATTTCTGATTCCGATTCATTTTTAGTTGCATGCAACTCGATATGTTCTGTCCAGCATTGTTTATTTGATTTCCTGGATTGTTTTGTTGAATTTGAGGCTTGAAATTGAAGACTGTTCGACGCTTGCCGTTTACATTGTTGGTAATCAATTTTTTGTCATGAACAATTTTAAAGAGTTTTTAGTTGACTACCTGCGAAGCTGTGAAGAGGATGAGTTTATGATATTACTTCCCAGTGTCACAATTGTCATGACGAAACTTGTCTTGTTGAGTCACTATGCTGAAAATGTTACCAGGTTAATTTTCAATTTGCCGTCAATAAATCAACAAGTTTTTAATCAACAAGTTTTTTGCTCTATTTTTAGACCGTTCAAGCGTTGGCCATATGATACTGCTTCTCCGTCCATAACAATATCATAACAACATTCATTTTGTCAGTTTGAATAACTCGTGGAAAGTATAGGAAATAGACCGATTTTTTTCCAAATAAAATATATTTTCAGCCATACTTTTCTGTGGAGTCTGGCAAAATTAATACAGAAGAACTCAATTTTGAATAATTAAAGCTAGATGGATCCAATGAGTGAAAAACAGTAGAATTCTTTAAATGAAAATTGGGAAAATTACAAGAGTCACTTTGAAATTACTTGAATTTGCGGAAAACACCAAGTCAACTAATATTTATTGCACAACACTTGACTGAATGCGAATGCGAATCCAAATTCAAATGATCAGCAATCACCTTTCGCTTGTCTCATTTAAACTATCACCGCTATAGTTGCGGTTAGATAAGGATGTGTGAATGTGGTTGCATTTTTGTAGGCGATAAGCACAGAATACTCAAACTCAGAACAAATGAACAAACAAATGTATCTTTTTCGATGACATAAATCAATATTGTCAATTCAATTAGGTTGCATATTTTCAACAGCGACGTGACATTGGAAGGAATGCGAATCTATTGTGTTTTGAACTTTGTGACAAAGTTTTATGTGCTTGGATACTCTTTTTGCTTGGATTCAAATAGCTTACAGTCAATTTAAGTTAGAAAACCAGCGAGACTTGCAAAAGATGCCAGCTGCTCTCATTGGTAAAAATGTTTGATGAAAATCCTAGGGGCTAATGAATATTCGAAAATGTTCTACGTTTCGGAAAAAAACGACTTTATTCGTATTTTAAAGCAAGCATTCGCAACGCTCCCATATAAAATGTATGGAAGCATTCGCAGTGGCATTCGTAAACATTCGAATGCGAGTATCACGCGAATGCGCTGCGAATACGGCGCGAATGTTTACATACATTTTATATGGGAGCGTTGCGAATGCATGAATCTACACGAATGCCAGTGTCAGCTGTCAATTCAACGCTGAAACATGTCAAACAAAGATCGTTTTACGGGAAAACTGCGAAAAATAGTAGGCCAAGTATTAACACCCAAAAAAAACATTATTTGATGCCTGAAAAACTTAATCATTTAAAAAAAATTCACACATAAACAAAACAAACATTATTATTAATTACCATTTTTAACCGAAAAAAAAATATAAATTGACATTTGTAAGCAAACCAATCACAAGCATTCGTAGCCATTCGTATTTGATACGACGCATTCGCAAGGTATTTGTATTAAGTGCGTGGCATTCGCAGCACTCGCAGCCATTCGTATTTCAATACTTGGCATTCGCAGCATTCGCGAGAGTCATATGCCCCTAGTGAAAATCATCATCGAAAATCATCTACAGATGTGGCAAATATCATAAGAAAAGTGAAAATAATCAGTGCGAAAACTAGTACTTTCATTGCTTCCTCTTTAATTTTTGTATCAGTATTTTTTTATTTCGATTTATAGAAGTTTTTTTTAAATTCAGCATTTATCTTCAAATTGATCTGATTCTTCAACTTTGAATCAATTTTAACGAATGGATAATGTTTTTGTCTAACTAAATCGCTTCATATGAAAATATTCAAGGTATAAACATAACAAAATTCATAACGTTTACCAAATGAGTGACAACTCAATTTTGTCCGAAATGAAAAGATTACAACCAATGAAAAATGAGGTGAACATAAACACTAATCAAATAACATAATAATAAACTGTGTGAATTCCGTTAAGAAAACATTTATTCCATTCAAACAGAATTATATCATTCAACTCAACGTACTTAATTGTTCACATTCAAACGAGCCACCAAATCGATTCAAAGTTCTGTGTAAGTACGGTGTGGCTGTAAATCTGAATTCAGCACAAAAGCTTAAGTACTTCATGCTGTAAAACTACAGCAAATGACAGACTGGAGTCAATCATTCATTCGTCTCTTTCGCACGCACAGTCATTCACGAAATGTTAATGTCAAGCGCAACGAAGCATTGCTCTCGCTCTATCCTCCACACTCACAGCGTTTGTAATTTTGTTTTGTTTCACATTTGTGTATTCATTTTCTAAACACAAACATATCGATAGACCACCACAGGCATGCGATGATGTGTCTTTTATTCGTTTTGACGTTTCCATACACAACTTTCACGTTATTCTACCAATATACGAAATCCAGTCACACCAGAACAGAGTTTTTATCACACAAACAACAAAATCAAGAATTTAATGAATCGTTTTATCAATAAGCTGTGTCAAAAGTGTGCAAAGCGTGTTGTTGAGAGTTTCGTGTAAATCAGTCGTCTGGGTAGAGTACGAGAGAGCAAAAGATTATGCAAATAGAATTAATAAAATTTCGGATATTCTTTGTTGCCGTGTTAAACGAATAGATACCAGAACCTCATCAGTGTTGTCGGCAGTTTGCTACGTGGCCACGCATAAATTGATTGCAAAATAAATGGCGAAAGTTTCGTGTGAAAGATGAAATATCAAGAAAGACACACAGATTGCTCAAGAAGATAAGCAAACACAGACGCAGATTGTGATCTACCACACAATCAGTAAGTCTAAGTAACAGGCTCACAGCTGGAGGCATACTTCAATATTTCGATAGTGTTGTTCACAAATTGTGAATGAGTGCCTAGTTTTTTGTTCATTGCTCAACCATCAATAGAGAAAAACAAGAAAAAAAACAGTGTAGTATGCCATATGATCGTGACGACAACCTAAAGTCCCACACACATAGTGATTGAGCTTGCGTGTCACTCTCCAATTCGTTGTAGTCAATCGGCTTGCGAATTGTGCTCTCTGCTTTCGGTTGTTTGGTTAATTTGTGTTGCAATTGTGATATATGAAATAGTAAATAAATATTCGTGCAACAGTTCACATCGTCATTGGCTACTCGATCGAGTGGAAGCAATCGGAGAAAGTGACTGTTTGGACAAAAAATTATATTCATTTATTAGTTCTCGATCACATTATGAGTTGAACATTTTACAAGTGCGGACGTGACTAAAGAACCGAAAAACATTTCCTTATCAACTGTAATATCGCAACAGAATTTTAATTTACAAATAGAACTTGAATGCTATTTAAAAACGAAAAAAAAGAAATAATAGTGAATATTGAGTGGAATAAAAAAACAAATCGACAATTCAAACCATTCGTTTCGGAAGGTGTACAAAAACAAGGAAAACAATGTGTGGGAATAAAAGCATTTAATTAAACAACAGCAAACAAAAAAGAATGAACAAGCTGCTGCTGTTTTATAGTAAATATTTACGGTATGACGCCACAATTGACAATTGCAGCCATATGGTGTATATGAATGTGCAAATTTTGTCATAAATAATCATCGGCTGTGTGGAAAAGTCAGCTGAAATTGAACGACTAATCATTGAGAAATTTCCAAAGAAAACTCGCGTCAAAATGGGCGGATCATCGCGGGGATTTTTGAGCGTCAGCAAAACGCGTTATCGCTACTTAATCAATTATTTTGTTACCATTTTTATATTAATTCAATTAATCAATTGCTGCGATGCCTACTTTTATTCGGAAAAACGAAACGAATCGGGCGAAGATAGAAACTGTTTTTGCCAGGTAAATATTTGCTCTCCACGAATTTATTTAAATTATTTCCATGTGTGTCGGCGAGACACCATTCAATACGTAAAATAATTAAATTTTTTTGTGTGTTTTTTTTTTAATTGTGCCAGTTAAAAGGTTCAGTAGACGACTGCAGCTGTAGTATAGACACAGTTGACTATTTCAACAACAATAAAATCCATCCCAGACTCCAGAGTCTGTTGGTTCGCGACTACTTTCGCTTTTACAAAGTCAATTTGAGGAAAGAATGCCCGTTTTGGGCGGATGACAGCCAATGTGCAATGCGATCGTGTCATGTAAGCACTTGCTCCGAAAATGACGTGCCAGAGGGTCTAAAAGGTCAACATCAACAAGAATCATTCATGTTTAAGGTAAATGGACATGAAAATGAAATTACTAATGAAAGTCAATTCACCTACTGCCACATTTTCATTTCGGTTTTTTATTGCTTTTTTGTACACGTCATACACGATTCATCAATCGATTAGAATATAAATTAGAAATTTGTTATCGCGCCGCACACGACACATGTTCAGATCTTAAACGAAATTTCGCTGATATTACGATTAATAAATAAAATCTAACTCATTTCGTTTTTATATATGTGACGTGTCTTTTGGCCGCTATATCAATGCGAACGTGACCATCAAGTTTGCTCTATTTCATATTAAAAGTGTGCATTTTCGTGTACTAGTATATGCTTGGCTTCGTTATTGAGTTGGTCAGTTAGACACACAGGAAAAGTAGCACAACGAAAAAATGTGAACAAATGTGAAAGAAAGAAAGAAGAATCAATGGCTCGAATAGAGTAAATTGTCATTTGATTTATGATATTCTATCTTCGTAATTATAATTATGATTGCTTTTCGATGTTGAATTACAAAAACTGACCATGTTTTTGTTTTTTTTATACATTATCTATATTACAGTACCTGCCGGAAAGTCAGCAAATTGATGATTGCATGAGAGACCACAATTTGGAGCTAAGCTATTTGAATAAAACATTAACGCAAGAGGCGATGCATGGCTTTGAAATATGGGCCGATTTTGATGGACAAAAAGATAATTTCTGTATACTGGATGACCATGAAAATGGTTCCGAATATGTCGATTTACTGTTGAATCCAGAACGATTTACTGGGTATCGCGGAGAATCAGCCCATCGTATATGGCACAGTGTTTATATGGAGAATTGCTTCGATCAAACGTCAACCAATGCACTTTTAACACATATCAACAAAGTACCTAAGCATTTGAACAATTTATGCATGGAGCAACGGGCATTTTATCGACTTTTGTCCGGCATGCACACAAGCATCAACATACACTTGTGTTCGTATTACTTGTTGAACGAGGGAAGCGACTTTATGTCGGATCCGCAAGGCGTTTGGGGCCGAAATGTCGATGAATTTATGAGACGATTCAGTCCAGAAACCACTAAAGACGAAGGACCGAGCTGGCTGAAGAATCTCTATTTCATTTATTTGCTAGAAATGCGCGCAATTGCCAAGGCCGCACCATTTCTAAGGAATGAACAATTTTTCACGGGCGACGAAGATGAGGACGAATCCGTTCAAGCTGCCGTTAAAGATATCTTGAATATCATTGAGTGAGTTGATACAATTGATTTCATCTATAAATAACTAAACTTATACTTATTCGCATTGATATTAAATTTTCCCCCCTTCCAGATCATTTCCACAGCACTTTGAAGAGAGTCTTATGTTCAACGGAACAGCTGCCGCTCAGTTGAAGGCCGATTTCCGTGAGAAATTCCGTAACATATCCAAAATTATGGACTGCGTTGGATGCGATAAATGCCGGCTTTGGGGAAAACTTCAGGTGAACGACTATTCTTGCAACTTATTCATTTTATTCTTTCAACTTTTTCTTCTCTTGCCTACGCATCGAAGCTATTTTAATGCAAAATGTTCTATTTTCACAGGTGCAAGGCTTAGGAACGGCTTTGAAGATTCTTTATTCGGGCAAATTTGATGGAGACATTGATTTCAACGAAAATCAACCGAAAAATATCAAGGAATCACTTCGGCAACGCTTCAAACTTAAGAGAGGCGAAATCGTATCACTGTTTAACGCGTTTGGAAGGTAATTTCACCAAAAAAAAGTCTAAAAATTTTCTTAGTTCTGTACATCCAAATTCTTTTCATCTTTTCCTTTCATTTCCCATTCCTTTTGGAATCGATGAAAAATAAATCCAAATTCAATTCTCTCTATATTCCAGATTATCAAACAGTATAAATGAGCTGGAGGAGTTTCGGAAGGTGACGAGGTAGCAATAAAATTGAACTCTAGGCAAATTCAAAGAATTTCTGTCATTAGGCGCACAATTCATAACACAATTTTGAAACAACTTAATTCACAATTAGCACGTTTTCCGAATGAATTTTTGACTCTCACACATTGGTGTTCATCGTCATGCAAATTATTTGAGAAAACAAACAAAAACAAACACACATTTTCAATGAAGTGCAAATACAATAGTTAGTAATAGTGGGCGTTAAGCTGCTTCCGTTTAAAGATAAAAATGAAATGGTTTTATTTTTCGTTGATTTAGTTGTTAGAATTGATTTGAACGGTTCTCAAGCATTCTGAGACTGCAGATTACCATTCAAAATGAACTCACCTTATTTTTATTTGGATAAAATGGGGCTGGATCTTCTTATCGCAAGTGATTTTTCATTAATTTATTTATTTTTTTTGTTTCAAATTGTTGATACTTTATGATATTTTATTCTGTTTTTACAAAGTGTCACTCTCTTTTTGATAAATGCGTCTAATATATGTGCATTGAACATTGAAGAGATATATGTGTACAAACCAGTTCAGTCAACAAAGGAAAATAAATAAATTATATTCATAAGAAATGAACACGATTTACATCACAATTTTGTATATTTTAGATGTTAATTATAGAATTGAATAAATTGACCTTATTTCCTACAGAAAAAAAAAGAATTTGGTTCGTTTGATCTGAGTGAAAACAGTGTTGCAGAGTCTGTTCCAGCACAAACAGTATTTATTTGTGATCAATTTATTTAGATGATTGACCTAATTTGTTTATCCATGTAAATTGGCTACAGCACATTTTTCATCAAGCACATCAGGGTGCGCCAGAACCTATGGGCATAATGAAGATGAGACAATTTGCAAGGATAAAAAGTAAAATTATTTCAATGACCTAAACAAAAGATACTATCAGGTCAGTTTCATTTGGTCACACTGCTGCTGAATTTTTCATTTGAGTAAAACACACATGTTTAGTTATCGTTTCTTAATCGACTATTTTATTTCAAGTAAAATTATGATTTAGCCTACAGATATATAGATTTAGAAAGTGCACAAAGCAGCGGATATTTTTGTTTATTCTAGTAAATCAAGAGTGTTTCATTTTTAAAAAAGCAAGTTGCAACAGTACGAGTACAGTAGATCGATTTTCGATAAATTGCAATTGTTTAAATCTCATAATTTAAAGATACAAAATAGAATTTATTTGCTTGCGAATTAAAAAGCACACAAATTGATTAAAATGCTGTGGGTAATTTATCAGTTGCGGTTTACGTCGGAATGATCGACCATGCTGCATAGACTTTTATAAATCCTAAAAACACATCCACTTTTTTCTACTCTTGTGGTTATTTGTTTGAACATGACTAACGTTTCCATAAACACTGAAGGCACAGTCAACATACAAATATATAAAGATCGGAAAGTTGTGTTCAACTATAATTTTTTCTAAAGACTCTAAATATTCAGACAGACAGACATATAATATAAACGAAATAATTTTTTTTGTCAAATTGTTAATTCTACTATCAGACTAAATTGTAGCATAGGATTAATAATTTACTTGTTTGGGGTTGAATGCGTGTTGTAGCGTGCATTTAGTCATGAGTTTGGTCTTTACTAAATGCTTTAGCCGCAATTTTCTTTCTTCTCAATTTTTGCAAGCCGCTTTGAAATTTTTTTTATTCATGATAGGATAACATTTTATAAATGTCGCAATCACTTCGGTTTGTCCGTGGCACAGACTCCATGTGTGAACGATTTTATTGGTTCTATTAAAATTTTAAAATATTCATCTTTAAAACAGAATCTAACAGAAGTAAAGAGTTTTGGTTCTGAGTCTTAAAACCATTATTTTCTTCGCTAAAGAAGTCTTTTTTCGGTTTGATTTTAATATTTTTCCATCATATGTTTGCACATGCCATTAATAAATACAAACATTTCGAGAGACATGAAAACAAGGCGCATAGTTTTTCCAGCGCTGAAAGTATCGAATTTAGTAAAATGTTGTGTTCATCGTTGATTTTTGTTTGATTGCTAAATATCTTTTATTTCTCTTTATTTTTTGTTGTTCTTTGAAAGTGAGGTAGTCAGAGTTTTGTCACATTCAGTGGGGGAAACTTCAAGTGTTCAATAAAACTGTTTTTTTTTTAACTTTAAGAAGTTGAAATATTTGTTTCAAAAAATGTCGATCTATTGATTGGGGGTAAAATTGTATATATAAAAAGTCACTATGAAATTCTGGCTATCTCATGTCTATGCTATTTTGAAAATGTTTTGAAAGTTCAGAAATTGAGATAGGAAAAAAAACTGTAAATGTTCTATTTGTGTTTGTTCGGTGAGTTGATTTTTGTTTTGTCACAATTTGCATCGGTTTTTCACTACGAGTAACCTCTTTGACACAACACTTGATTCATTTTTGTTTGTTTATGATACGTGCTAAAATTTATGTAAATTGTCATAAAATACTGTTCGATTTATTTGTAGGTTTGTCTGTAGCCGCATTAAAATCATTTCGATTGCTCCCAGTCCGTGGAATTGTGTTTCGGATTAAAATGATTTTTGTTTACTCCGTAATGGATTTGTTTTCATTCATTTAGAATATAACTAACGGTTTGTCTTCGGCTTGTTTGAGTTCGATGTTTGTTGAGGTGCTGCTTTTCTCGGTGGTTTCGGTGCATGGACTTAAATTAATTGGCGGTGCAATTGCTCCGGATGTGTCTTGTTCTTCATATGCTGCTTTGCTGGTCGTTGCTCTCGGTTCATTATATGGTGGTGCCGATGGCTGATAGTATGACTGTGGAATGAAAAAGCAAAGAGAAATTGAAAGCCCATCACGAAGGTAACGAGTGAGAAAAACAATAGCTCTACATTTCATGTAGTGCTAAAAATTATAAATTACTTTGCTTGTACTGGGTTGATCCATGTGCTCCTGTTCATTTACGCTTTCTTGGATGGCATTCAGCTGTTGAACGCATTTGTTGGCGAGTTCGTCAATGTCATCAATATCCGAAGTTTCATCCGTACAGTATTTGCATCGCATTTTTGCATCATCTCCCACCTTTACCGAACGCGTTATGACGCACAGTGAAATGAATGATATGACAAATAATACGGATGGAACACCGAAGAAGATCATGAAATGATTCCATGTTGTCTTCAAATCGAAACGTGCTAGTACTTTCGTGGGATCCATCTGCAAAAAAACCATTATGTAAATTAGTTTTTACTCTGCTTGCCTCCGTTGAACAACAGTGTACACAATATTGGAATAGTTGATGGATTTATTTGAATTCCACAGCTATGCAGATCAGTGAATAGAAAACCAATTACTTGTGATTAAAATGCAAATCAAGCGCGTCGCTCGGTTTGCTGCATCACACTTACCTTATTGTAGTAGCATAGGTAACGTGACTGTGCCGTATGGTTGATCCCGTCACGACCGTGCGAATGCAAAAAATCCGTGCATTCTTCTCTCAATGTGTTGACACATCCCTCGAGATTGACGAGCAATATGCTCGAGTTGTAAATGGTTAAGCTCGATTGTTTTGGCAAAAATCTGCAAGAGAGAAATAACAGTAGAAACGCGTTAGGCATAGTTGGGGCACGTAGTTTTGTTGTTTTGCTCCTCGGAAAAAAACCATTGAACTCAACTGAATTGAACTTGAGAATTCGTTTGCTACTCACCTGTCAGTAGGGTCGAGATAAGTTTTGCTGTCATTGTAAATTTTCCAAAATTGTGTAAAATTCATAAATGGTTTCGGTAAAATGGTCTCATCTTTCAGCAGTGTTCCGTTGATACAATCGGTCGCCCTATGCAAACAAAAATTTGAAAAATTGATTAATCCAAATTTCAAAAGATTCGATTCATTTTGTTAAAATCTTCGAAAAAAAATGGAAAATCTTTAAATCTTCTGAATTTACCTCAATGAATTCTTGTCGCCATCTTTAACCGCATCAAAGCAACTGGCCAGAAGAATTCCATCGTTTTCGTTCCAGATTTGTTTTCGTTCTTCAAGCCTAACGCCTGGTTGATTTCCTCTCGCTTCATTGTACCCAAATCCGACATCGCATTCGGCTGTAATCAACGAGTCGTCCACCATTATGAGTATATTGACAGCGGTTGTGGTGACTTTCGGACAATACCGATCGCATCGTGTGGGTGGTTTGTTCACCTTAGTACATCGCGATTTTTTGCAGTCGAAAAACCCATTCAATTTCATGTTATCCCGTTCCGCATCAATTGTTATGCCGTCCGCGTGATAAAGGCACAAAAAATGCGTTGAAACATTCCGACAATGACCTTTACCGGTTCAGAAGAAGAAAAGCACAAGAGGCATTACATTTTAATTCATCTTCTCTATACATTTTTTTTTTTTTGCATTCGTAAAATGTCAAGTGGAAAAATCTGTTTACCCAGCGAACAATCGAAAAGCCCCGTAAGCGCTGCACATTCCGTACCATTGTTGCAATTGTATTTCGATTTATATACCTCATGTTTAACCTGAATAAAGTGGAACCGACAGAAAAAAAAACACAGAATTAAAATTTTCTGCTCCGGAGAGTTGAACAATTGCTTGCAGCACGCAATTGTGAACAATGAATGATGGAAAAAATAAAGCGTTTATACCTCCGGGCAGTTGGTCGTTGTGATGCGAGTGCAGTTTTCTAAAACGACATCGGTACCATTGCGCCGTGAAGTGGCGTACATTTGTGGACAAAAGCCACTGGTTTTCGTTAGGCACCATTCGCCACAGCTCACCCATGGACAGTAGTTTTTATCTACACATTGTAGTTATAAATGGTTGAATTCATGGTTTGTTACATTTTAGCGCATTTTAGTAGTTTCTTAGATAAGGGACGGGACGATTTTCTAGTATATTTTTCAAACTGAGTTATTGCGGTACTGCAACAATTTTTTTCCGAAGAAATTCTTTTCGACGTTAGAACAAAACGAATTAAAAAAAAAACGTTATCGGTTTCGACTGCAACGCACGCATTGACTTTCATTCTCATTTTTTGTTAAAAAACAAACAAACAAAAAATACATATTTAAAACTTATAATACCTAGTTACAAGACACAAGAAAAGAAAAATAATACATAAATGTGCGCTGACTATTTACAAATGAATGAGAGAAAATTATGAATTATTTTTTGTCAAAGAGAATTTCGCAAAAAAAAAAATAACGACCATTTAGGCGTAATTACACAATGTCCGCTGTTGCCGGAAAGATTTTGCGACATCATCATCTGGCGACAGTCAGATGCGATTGCGTTCGCACTCGTGCCCATCGAAAGGAAGAAAAAAAATTGCCATACGATCTCGACGAAGGAAATGTTGTTTAATTTGAAATTGGCAAAGGGATTGTCATTGAATCGATTGAGCATAGTTCAAAACAGCAGCAGCAACACCAGAAGCAACACCAATCAACGGCGTCGATGGTAGTGTAACAAATTGGCCATGTATATGTGATGATAATGTGTTTTATCCGCTGTTATTGTGATATTGAAAGGTGCTTTAAATGTATTCCAAATGTTCGGAAAATTGAATTATGATTTATTTCATTTTTTTAACCACACTTGGATCGTTTATTTTAAAATCGATGGGTGTGGGTGCACTATTATTCCATTCGTCTAATGACATTCATGGTCGTTTGATTTTTAGCATCTTTTGGCAAGGCAAATAAAACACAAGAACATCAACATGCCATTTCGGATGGAATAACTAGAAAAATAGATTTTTAAGCTAGACTAATGACAGGTGTTAGATTGATCCACGCAGCGTTACCGTACAAGACACAAATATAAAATTGCGTTACCGTAAAACGTGTGGTATGTTTGGCACATCACTGGCTCCTCTTCGAATCCCGATTTAAATGCTCTGCATGGATAAAATATGGAAAATGAACATGTCAATCATCGTGGTATTCGTGGTTAGATGAGGAAAAAACTTGGACAAACACCATATGTCCGACCTAGTCATTAAGTCCGTTATTTTTGTTTGCCGAGTCGTTTATGACTGACTATTGAAAATGGCAGTGTTGGCAATTAAAAATTTGTATACATTCATGTCATGGAATATTTAATTAGCTTACTTGTATGTCGGCATATAAATAGCCACACTTAAATACACAATCGATACACATGACAGCACAATGGTCAGTTGGCACAAACAAATCGAACCACAAATTCGTCTATCCTGTTCGGGTATTAAGCGTGGTTTATTCTTTCGTCGTTTTTTACCCATGTTGCTTTGTCACCACTATCACCACCACCAACTTTTCAAACGTAAATCGAATAGATGACGTCCTGTCGATTTTTATCGTTTATACACTCGATATCTGTCACTTGCCTACATTTCACAAATAGAAGAAGAAAAACACATTAGCCGCTTCAATTTAACGAGAATGACCTCACTCAAACCGAAATCCCATTAGAATCGAATCCAAATGAAATGAAGAAAAACTCGAAGCATGAAAAACAAAACAATTTCGAAAGTGTTCATCTTTTATTGCATGAATGAAGGGTTTCAATGGCATTAAAGCCATGTCTTTGACCGTTATATATTTCCGAAAAACACAAAACCACACAAACATATACATTAAAAAGCTATTTGTCCCTACTTTGTGTGTGTCATTGAATATGTATATGCGTTGCGATGCCATGACAAGATAAGAATGGAGCTCATTTGTAATAAAGCACCGGGACCATTTGCTTGTTTACACTGCTATCTGTACAGCATCTCAAAAGCGTAATAAGTACGAGCGACAAAAACCAAAATCCAATTCACATAAATATTGCATGCGGTGTGTTTCCATGATTGTATTGTTGCTACAATGGGATGTGCTTTGAATGCGGCGCTTGGCATTATGAGTTACATACTTTAACACATAGAGAGAGAGAGAGAGAGAGAGAGAGAGAGAGAGAGAGAGAGAGAGAGGGAGAGAAGGGGAGAGAAAGCAAATATATGCTATCACAAAGACCGGATAATATTTGACGAGCTACGGGCAAAAGTTGAGCAGATTAAATCCCGGAGGCAAAAACTCAATGACTTTTCAAAGAAAAATGTGTGCAAATAAGGATTCGAAACACAGATATTGCTGCACTAATAAATTGGTTGTGCATTGTAAATAAAAAAAAGAGAACGTAATTTGAAATTGCAAGGCGTTTGGCTTTCATGAACCACAAACACTTCGTTTTGAAACAAAACAATAGAAAGAGATACGTTCGAAGATGGCAAACACAATCAAGTGGATTGAATTAAAAATACAAACATCACGATGGAATCCGACTGGCAAAAAGAGGCAAAACGAGCGCGAGGATAATCTTCTATCATAGAAGCTGTTGGTCGTTGTCTCTAAGCTATTTTTATTTCAATCACGCCGATAAATTTGTTATTTTTTTTTTCATATTTTGAAGCGTAACGACTCTGTAAAATGTAAATGACCTTGTATGACCACTGCATAATTTATCCGGGCAACGACAACCCTATCATTGAGAGTAAAAAAAAATCCAAAAATGATTTTGTGTATTTTTTACGGTACGCTCAATATAATAAATAATGACAGAAACCGATACAAATTTTTGAATTTGAATAAACGAACCTATAGCACAATGGTGACCACACTTGAGTGGCCCCCACATGATTGAAGCTATTAATATGGAAAATGGAAATGTATAAATTGTCTATCAAAACGGATGGATCATCATATATTATTAAAAACGTTTATTGTGGTGACCTTTCACTGGGCGGGTTGAAAGCGGACGAAGCGCTCTGCGTCATAGGTTCCGATAAATTGAATCCAGTTGTTTTAAAGGACAAAATGATGGAGGTAACTTGTTGGCAACAAGTTGTTGCATTGAAAAAAGATACCATTGCTATTGTGCCCGTAGATCACATCTTGCTCATGAATGGCGTTCGAATCGATAAATGGAATTCGACCTGTCTATATATTGATTCTCATTTATTTCCAATATCAATCGTTTTTTGCGCCTTGAAATGCTTCCATTTTTCCATTTCTAAAAAAAACTCTGTCTTTGAATTGTCGAGGGAAAAGTTGAAAAAAGTCATAGAAAAACAAAGCGCTCTGGATAACGAAATGAGCACGTAATGAGTTTTGCATCGACATTTGCAACCCTCTCAATCGATGAACAACGTCATTCGCATTCCTTTGAACACTTAGCAATGCTTCGCCGTAGCATGCTATTCGCCTAGGGAAAACGGACTGTCGACTGCACGAAAAAACAAAACAAAATATATGTTCTTATTACTGTTTGCCCCATTCATTAAATAGTTGGCTATATTAAGCTTATACAGTCGGTGTCCGATACGACGACGACGACGACGACAACACTGAACAATTGAACGAATGGCAGATAAAAATGTCAATAACAATAGTCGTGCATTGTGTGAACATAAGCATTCCTCTGTCTTTTCCATCCTACTCGAGGTAACAGCACCGCGCTATTTGCCAATTCAACGGAAAAGTTCACATATCAAACTACAACCGTTGGCGAATTAATTTATAATTGTTAGTTATGGCTTTGCTCAATCGGACTTTTTTGACCATTGAGTTCCCCTTTGTGTAGAAACGAATGCCATTTTTCAGCTCGAGTACCTTTTGATGAATCATGGTGGAAATGTGCAGATTTTTCTTTGGTTAGGTCTTCTCCCAATGAAAATAAAAAAAAATTATGGGTCTATTATTCGTTTGTCGCGTGATGGATTTTCGGTGAAATGCTTGGCGCTGAACCCAATTTGTGCACTAGATTTATTATTACAAAAATATTTAACGCACAACATTCATGACAATAGAACCAAGTTCGCAGTAATGGTGTATAAACAATGAATCACTCTTTTCGAATTTATCGTAATAAACACATAACTTGCTCTCCTCCAATGCGTGTTCGATAAATCAATAACCAAAAAACCGAAGAAAAATCAAACAAACACACGAAAAAACTGAACCAAAAATGATCGGCACCAACAAAGTTTGAACAAACAATTCGAAAATATTACTTTGAATATTCCTGGCTCCGTTTATTTTTCACTTCTTCTTCTAATAGATCAAATGAAAAACAATGACGCGAGCAAAATGAACGAACCACTGGAATTGTTTCATATTCGGGGTACACCGTCGAGCTTTCACGAACCGACTGAGCGAGAAAAAAAGACGAACGGAATGAGTTCCGAAGGATATGAAAGTGAAAGAATGATTCGCTTATGTTAGAAATGGAATGGATCGCATTTGACACACAGTGAAAGTTTATAGCCTTATCACGAGTGTATTGAAGCCAAACCGTGTTATCCTCTTGCTACGTTGTTGGAGAAATGCCACGCACCCATACATACACACGCCAAAAAGCAGAGTGACAGCATTCCTTCCCGCGCTGTCGTCATCTTCCATCGTACAGAACATGCGTATTTCGTACGCATTTTTGTGCGGAAAACACATGAGTTCGTCCGAACAACGCATGTTTATTTGACATGGTATCAGCTGTCAAACTGATGGATTCTCGTTGCAAGCGTTTTCCATTGAGCCTGTGAGCAAGAGAGGAACAGAGGAAGAGAGGAAAAGAGCGAGAAAATTGAAGCTTTTCTCCGCTTTTTTAAGCGCTCGAAGCAAAAACTACATAGGCAACTGAGCAAATGAAACAACTGTTGGCTTTCGTTTCAGGCTTTTTTTTATTTTTGTTCGTTTATGAACTCTGAATACAAATTTCCAATATTCAAAAGTCAACAGAAAGAGAAATAATGATAGAGATATTTTTTTTATTTCAAATGCCAAGCTGATAAATAAATTCAGAATTAGCGGACTGAATAATATCATTTATTCTAGACGGGACAGAGAAAATGGTGTTCGATTTCGAAATATTGTGCTCCTGATATCGTTTAGTTTGTTGCTGGGTGCTTCTGCCGCTGCCTCACATCAGTGGTAATTACCTAGTGATTTTTTAATTCGTCAATCCAAGATAAAATTTTAAGGACATTCGGATGGTTATCATTTAGTAATAATATTGTCACAGTTAAATTTGAAGTGTTTTGAAGCATTTTTTTTTGTCTTTCATTTAATTGTTGTTGCTCTTGATGTAGTTTTGTTTGTTATTATTGCGACGAAAGTGATTCGAAAAGATTTGTTTTGCGTGTGCAATCAATTCATTGTATATTCAATATATTCATTTGTTATTGTGTGTAATGAGAATGAAAAGAAAAGACGAACGACAACATAAATGAAGCGTGTCAACTTAAAATACATCATCTCATTGAACTCTTCTTGATTATTTACAGATGGCATCGATTTTGGAATTTTTCAGTTTACAAAACGAGTGTTTTTCTTCTCTATAAATTGCGTATAACCACCTTAAATTAAGTAATTTTTTTTTGCTACGATTTAAATCCAATAAGGAAAATTTGCCTACTTGAAGAATAAACGTTCAATAAATGTTTATTTCAATTTTCATTTTTTGTGTGGAAAAAAATGTTAAACTTTTTTTTATCACATATTCATATATCCAAAATGTATCCAAATGCACATTTGCAAATGGAATTGTCTCTCTTGCGAAATATAAGCTGATTCAAAAAAATTCTTAGGAATTAAAAAAGAAAAATCGTAAATATGATAATTGATATTTTAAAACTGACTAACTAAATAGAACGAAATAAGTAGAACCATTAATTCAGCCCATTGCTCGAGCATATATCCTGTTTAAAGTTGTTTGTTATTTTTAATTTGTCTCTTTTCTTTGCATTTGCATATTTAATAAAGCTATAAAAAAGATTAAAATGCATTTGTGACAATTTGAAAAGGCAATGCAAGTTGTTTTTTTCTTTCTTTGGTTCGAAAACAGTGTTTGTGTTTCAAACACATTCTATTGTACGGTATACGCGAAGTAAAAGCTTAATAATCCATGTCATCGTCTTCGTCATCGCTGCGACAAAGCAATTTTCTAAAAAAATGGGGATAAAACAATATTCACATACAATATTGAAAATGATAAAGTTGATCAATCGGGATGGTAAAGAGGTTGTGCGAGCATATTGAGTATCACTCAATAGCAGTGTTTGGCAAATACAAAAAAAATCATCTAGATAAAGATAAGATAAATGTGGTCTATCTAGATAAGATATGAGATATTATCTACTCGAAGATATCTTGGAGATATCCTATAGATAAGATATCTTTGCCAAACACTGCTCAATAGAAGGATCAAAATAGGAAAGTGTTAATATTTTCGGTTTGAGGTGCAGCTATTCGGCCGGAGAACATTTTGAACAGAGCCAAAAAGGTGGATTAAATGGATTAAACAAAAAAAAACGTACTCAAAAAACGTAACAAAAACTTGCTATCTGTGTAAAGAGGTAACGGTGGTGTATTCAAGAGCAAAAGGTTACGTACCAATTGATTTTTACATGCGGAGGCAAAGAAACATCTACTCTTATTCGAACAAAAGCCAAAAAATTGTATGGAGGGAAAAAAGAGAAACATTGTGTGTATGATACAGAACAGCTAAATTATTAAACCTATTTTCTATATGAACCGCTGAGAATAATAGACTGACGATAGCAGGTTTTTCGCAAAAGCGGGATAAAAATCAGTTGCACGCAAAAAAGACATTTCAAAAGGTTACAAGCAAACGGAACATTTTATCTGGTCGCATTTTGAATTTTAAAGCCATGATTGCAACAACAACATACTTCTCTCTTGCGTGCAACCTTTTGAAATGTCTCTTTTGCGTGCAACTGATTTTTATCCCGCTTTTGCGAAAAACCTGCTATCGTCAGTCTATTAACCTCAGCCGTTCATATGTCTTTCTTTCAACTTGATTCTTTCAAAAGATTTTGATAGATTTTGCAAAATGGTCGATTGTTGTTGATTGGAAAATATCTTTCTGTGGGATGGTATATTATTCTCCTTCACAAATCACTTTGTCGTTTTCGTTTACATTTCCGGTGAGGGAAAAAACTCAATATGGTTTGTACTTGTTGAAACAGTTGTGCGTGGTGCGCGCACTCTCTCTATCTCAATCTTTCAGCTGATATTGAGCTGCCCTGGCACGTTGCCATCGATTCGATTGATTCGATCGATTCGATCGAAAGGAAATTGGCTGTCGTCGTCGTTGTTGTTGATACTGTAGATGCAGCTCACTTGTACTTATGCAACGCTGATCGATGACACGCTCATGTGGTTGATGTAAATAGTAATCCGAGAAATTCCACGCTGAAATCGGACTACGGATGTTTGTTCGTGAGTGAATGTGTCGATCGATGGATTGGACCAAAATTTATTTGTGTATTTTTTGGTAATAGAATTCAAACGAGTGAATTTTATCGGGAGAGAGAAAAAATTGATTAAATTAATTGCCAGTGGATAGATGAACAAAAAAAAGTCTATGTAATCGCTAGATGATTCATTGTTAATGTGGTCATCTGTTCGCATAAACGAATGCACATTGCAGACTTTATTACACAATATATGGATACACATTGAGCGGATGGTATTATAAATATTTACTTTTGGTAGCCACAATCGATACACATACACAAATCTCATTTTATGTATGACATAACACTAAGGACATGTAAATTACACTTTGATATAATATTATTCTGGTTTTATATACCGAAGCAAATTTCTTTCGTTTTATTGAGCAATTATTATGATATGAAAATGCCGCGAGATGAAAATCTGAATTACATTTCGAGTCATCGAGAGAGCAAGTGTAGAAGAGATTATATTCTCTGTTTTTTTTATTGGCTCGTATACAGATTGGATGCGAATGATGATATTATAGAGAATGACAGGATGATTTCAATATCAGTTTCATTGAAATGAGTTTTTGATGTGTCACGATGATTATGTTTATTTATATGGACATAAATTATGATGAACAATACTACAACAGCGCACATCGACGAAAAAGCGAATGTTCTAATAAATTATGTTATGATACGTCGTAATCATAAGTCCATTAACATAATGGTTCATTTAGAACAAATGAAATACAAGTCTTTCATTTCAATAAATAAAAAAAGAATTTCATTCAAATAAATTGAAAAAAAAAAAATTAAAATAAAATGGAAATGAAAGTAGGAACAAAACCAACGAGTCGAAGATAATCTACAATTAGATCCCAATCCACAAACCAATTAGGAAATTATAATTTACATTTTACATCGTTCATTCACAATGAGTACATCATGATCGAATTGTTTGATAAAAATGTGACCTAGATAGATAAAAAAACACATGCATCATCACCCAGCGAGTGGTTGTTTGAAAATCACAAGGAAACAGTTAAACAAACATTAACAAATAAAAGATGTACAAATTAAAACGACATGCAAACACATTTCAAAAAGTCATGCATACAAATATATGCCACAAGTGCTCCAAATGTAAATGCAATTACAAAAGCATTGGATGAAGCAGAGCAAAAATGGAAAAGCCACTTACTCTTCTTTATTTGGATACTTTTCCGTATAGACACGAGTCGTTTTCCGGCATGCCTTATCACAGCACGGACAATACCAATAGCTCAACACGCCGATGCTTATAGCAAATATGACGTTTGGTATGATCAGCGAGAGTATCAGGTGTTTTAGATTATCTTCCCATGAGTAGCGCGTAATCACCATTTCAGGATAGGCTGAAATTACGAATGATTATAATCAACAGTTCCATTCGTATTACTTATCACATGTTATTTTCTTACCACGACTGTAGTAGCAAGGGAATGGTTCACCAACGTGTGAATACCTGCCAATAAAATCGGAATGACCAAATGACCATCATCAATTGCAAATTAGCATTTGGCGCAAGGTAAATTATTACGGGTACACATTTAAATCAAAATGGCCATCAACACTTACCCATACTTCTTAGCGAATTCCGTACAGTTAACCGTCGGTGGATAACCGCAGGCTATATTTAGTAAAAACAAACCAAAAAAATAATTGCATGAAAATAAATGTTCCGTTTTTTCGCAATGTGAATTACAACCTTCTGAATTGATAAGTAATCTGGTATCAGATACATCCCATTCAAACCGGTCCAAATCCGGTGGATTTTTCAGCCATTCCTCCCACGGAATTTTGGTGTAATTCACCAACAACTTGTGACATCTACGTTAAAATGATGGTCGAAAAGTGTTTAAACATTTTAAAGTGTTCGGAAAAATGATGATGAGTCTTGGACTCAATTCTCTTGATTCAATTTACCGAATTGGTGCAGTCGTACAGCCTTCGCGACACGAACTCCACGAACAGTTTCGCATTCCGTTTGCGAATTTATGGTCGACCACCATGCATGTAACTGGTATTTGATCGTAGTCGGCGACGATCGTCGATATGGCTGGATCCACAACGAATGGTATTAAGAACAAAAAAGCAAATACTGACAGTATGGCTGACGTTCCTGCATTAGTGTGCGAATATGGCAAAATGGATTTTCAACAGTTAATCAACTTGAATTTACCATTTAAATCTCAAAAATGGTGCTATATGTCAATTTACCTAGGCACAATGATGTGTAAAATTTGGCTTTCTCTAAGAAATTGTCTAAAAAACTTGGTTCCGGTATTGGCGTTGACCTAACATTCGCTTGGCTACCATTTAATTTCGTGCTACTGGAATAACTGTTTAAACTGTTCACTAGACTTGGTGCCCCCGACATGGAAGCACTGATATTCGTTCTCTCCGAACCAGTCATCGCTGCAGCTTTTGGTGTGTATGTGTAGGTGTAATTTGTTAGTATTTTTTGGATCTAAATTTGTGCCGTTTTTTATTGGAGTTTCGCAAATATTTATTTGTTGGTTACTTTGGTTTATTTTATTTATATTTTATGAAATGCTTCTACTTTAATTCAAATCTTAAGCGCTCAATTGGATTTCTTATGACTTTTTCTTTGATTAATTGCAAATTGGTATTTACTACTTGATTTTAAGCTACTCGTTGATTTTTATTTAAGCTGTGTGACACATTTTTTTGGTTTAAAAAAAAGACGGCGAAAATCGTTTGTGCTTTGTTTTTGTCTGTGGCTTAGTCCAAAATGCTGTTCGATTCGGTGAATCTAATTATGTTGTATGTGTATTCTGGTTGTTTGTTTTGTGTTTTTGTGTTGAGCGTTGTTAAGTGAACACCTAATTTAATTCTGGTTGGCTGGCTATCAAACCATTTTGTTTGGTTTGAGATTTCGTTATTGAATTTTTTTAACACGCATCCCTCGGTACTCAAAGAGGTTGTTGGTTGATCGTGATTTTGGTTTCTTTTTTTATTGCTTCTAGTCTCCAGTTCGTAGAACAAAACTAAATAAAGAAAATTACTCCCGTACTGTCATGTGGTAAATTTCGATTTTGTTCGATTTGATCGGCTACTGAAACAATCTCTACAGTTTTATGCCGAAGTGGATGTAAGACCTATTTTATGTTTCGTTACCTTTGGATTCTCTTCTTTGGATTAAAAAATTCGTAAGTGAGCTGTGATCACGAAGACTTTGCTTGTGGATTTAATTTCGATGCGCGCGCAATAGCGTTGCAATTATTATTTGATTAAAAAAATGATTTTTTTGGTTAATCGTGTGATTCGTGCACTTGGATATTATTTGTGAGGAAATAAATGTGGTTTATTGTGGTGGCGAAGAAAAAAAACTAGATTAATGAACTGGGCTCGCTATCTTTACGTCTCTTCACGTAGCAGAGGAATGCCTGAAATGAAAAACATTTTGAAAATTACCATCCAATGATAATAATCGTAGAGAAATACAAATGAAAAAAGAGGAAAAAAGCGTGAAAATTCATGTATAAACACTTTTCTAATAGAATTTCTAACAAAAAGCAGGGGAAAGGGGAGCTTGGCGATGGAACGGCATGGAAATTCGTTGGATTCTTACGTGATTGATCTCATAGTGCCATAACATCGTTACTTTCCGCAGCATTATATTGACGTGTAACGGCCTCTTCAATATTTTCTTGTGTAGCCGAAGGAGCCAATGTGTCTATATGTATGGGAAGGAGTAGACAAACATTTTGATTGAATAACAGAAAACATCAACAAAACCGGTTGTAACGCGGTTTGTCATTTGGGACCGCATTGAAAGGTCTGAACATTTTTTGTTCGGTTTTATACAATCAATAAAGTAATGAAAATTTGCATCATCTACCTGTGCCGCAGCCTTTGAATCGCATTCTTGCATCGTCGCCAACAACAACCGTGCGTTGACACAGCACCAAACATGTGCAAGAGACGATAAACAGTACGGTCGGCACGATGGAACCGATGTACAATTGGAAATAAGTTTGTGCAAGATTGAAACGTGAAACCACCACGCTCGGATCATTCAACGAGAAAAAGCATGGGAAACGAGCCCGTGCATTGTGATCGGTGCCATCTTTGCCATAATCTTTTAAAAATTCACGGCACTCGTCTTTCAATGTATTCACACAACCCTCCAAATTGATCATGAGTCGTGATTCATTGTAAATCGATATATCTAAATCTATCGGAGCAATGGCCTTAACCGGTGTCGTACTGAACACATGTAAATAGCTCAAATAGGTGAAATTGATTAAATCACCCAGAATATTATTTGCCAACACCGAGCCATTTACACAATCGAACGCTTCAACGCCGACCGATGTATTTTTGATTTGATAGCAACTGGCCATCAACACATTGTTCTGTGTATCATTCCACACTTCGAGTCCAGTCATTGCGTCAAACGCACTTTCACACTGCGACAAATACACCTTATCGCCGCTGAGCAAAACAATGTTTTTATTGCGAACTGGAATGTCAACACAACGTCTATCGCAGTTGTATGGTGTACGGATTTTGCGGCAAGTTCCACGGCTACACGAAAAAAGTCCATCGATGTCGATACAAGTGATTTTACCGCGTCGACCCGAACACTTCATCGGCGCATCCGTATTATGGAAAACACATTCAAACGCATCGGTGATATTCAAACACATGCCCATCGTACAGTTGAACGTTCCCGTTAAATTCTTACACTCGTCGGCAATGCAACGTGCTTTCTTTGCATTCTCCTGATCGATACCGTAACAAGTCTTATTCGCACTGTTCGTACAATTGGCAAATGTCAAACTGCTGCCATTGTTTCGCAAATTCACATAGATTTGAATGCACGCACCGGATGTTTTACTCAAACACCATTCACCGCATGAGCCCCAATCGCACATTTCGGTATTGACGGCCCGGAGGGTGGTGCACATGACGGGCACTTCACTAATACCACTTTTTATCGCACGCGACGATGGCATATAAATTGCTACCGTTAAATAAACTATGGCAACCGAGCTCAATACAAAAGTCATTTGACAAATACAGATTGTGCCGCAAATACGATGATTCTGAGGCGGTACCACCAAATCCTCCACTGCAATCTTCTTCTTTTTACCCATTTTTCACACACTCGCCCACTCTCTTTCTATGATTTGTTTGTTTTTCGCTCTCTCCCCGTATCACTCTCTATATCTATTCAATGTCCTTGTAAATCGAAACCGAATTTCTAGCCTATTATTACACCATCCAATGGTGGCCAATTCCGTAAAACAGCATGTGGTCAATTTTGTAAATTACTATTCTGTATTTTTCTTTTGGAAAGGGCAAGGATTTTCTTTTCCTTTCAAATGAAGCGATTGACAATATTTTTCAGCACGGTCGTTTTATTGATCAAAACAGATTTGCCTTGCGTGCGTTGCCTAGTTCATACACCAATTCGCATATGTACAGCACATTGTATTTTCAGTTTAAAATGGGTTTTCGTGTTACAGGCTCACTATATGTGTGCGGTATGTATGTTCTACTGTTACATTGAAACGTCGCGTCCATTAGGTGCGCTCCATATGTTGTAGTAGGTTAGTGAAGCCAAAGCACAAACACCATCAAATCAGTGCAGAACCAATTTCATTTAGAACAGAAAAAAAACACACTAATTTTATGTTGAAAAATTGTTATTTTTTTGGTGTGGCGTCGTCGTCGGCCATGTTTGGTCATGCATGCAAAATGTCAACATAAATTTATTGCATGCATTATGTCAACATAGTTAAAATTCGTTACCATGAACCATGTAATTGAGCAAAAAATTAGTATATAGTAGGATATGGAACGATGATGGTGCCTCTTTGTCTATATCAATATGTCTTATGCATACAAAGCACACACAATATCCAGCAAAGACAATAACAACAACAACAGAATCATCCACTTGCACTGAGGCTGCGATTACAAGACAACAATGTTTTTCGCTCTTAAATTTTTCTTATTACATAACTGACCTACTCTCTACTACGTGATTTATGTCAAAAGCTTCTTCTTCTTATTCTTTGCATCAAATCTCAACACAATAGCTTAAATTAATATCGCAAGCACCAATTTTTCCATTCATTTGCTGTCGTCTGGCATATTTTTATCAATAAAATCACAAATGGATGTCAAACTTAATTGAATTTCGTCGAGAGATAATCAAAACAATGCACTTCGATGTGGAAAAAATCAATTTATTTTAAATGTCGAAGACACTAAACGGATGTTGCCCATTTGGAAGTACCAAATACACAAAAAACATATAACAATAACAATTATTTATAGGGAAAAAAGACGCAATTTTATTTGAAATTTTTTTTTTAAGAATAGATTTTCCGTTCGATCCGATGAGATGATGAAAATGAAATGGAGAATTTTAAACTTTAGAGAAATGTATTGACATGTGTATCGAGTTCAAGAAAAAAATTGTGGTAAATAGAGCAAATTTCGCGAAGAGAGTATAGTGACCGAATGTGATTCGCTGTATAGTATCCAGTTGATCGGTGTGACTGTGCCAGAGGAATTGCGGAAGTTGAGGCGAAAACGTCATTTGAAAGCTTTAATGGCACGAGATGGCCATATGTGTGGTGGTAATTTCAAATTCGTTTTCAAAATTGTGTGTTGCTGTTGTTGTTGTTGTTGCGGTTGCCGTCGTCGTTTTTAAATTCTAGGGGAAACATTAGCACAACTACTGTGACTAGTTTTACTTATAAACATTCAGCCATACAGCCAAGCATACACAATAACCAACCCATACAGTCAAACGCAACGCGGCATATTTATGCGAAACCGTTGGAAAATTTTGCTGGAGACTTTTGCGCGCGCAATCAATCGATATATGCCATTCTCCGTGCTTGTTGTGGTAGTTCTAGTTTCATTTCGTTCTGCTTTTTCATTTTTTTCCCATTTCTATTGCGGTGATTTTCGTTTGGATGAATTCAGGATCAAATGCATGTATATATTTTTACAGCCAATTCATTCACAATATTCATAATTATGGTTGGCTCGTTGAATATGAAATTCAAACCGAATTTTTCATATTTTATTCATTTTTATTTTAAGAGAGGGAGCTGCTTCTATATCATTTATTGTCTATCTGTTGTGTGTGTGATTGCCGAGAGTATGGAATCAATAAATTCACAAATGAATGGGATCGGACAAGCCGACGCCACTTTTATTAGTCTTTTTTTTCTTCAGAAATGGTTCAATGAAAATAGAGGGTTCCCTAAGTCTCTCGATCAATGTAAGCCATCAATCGATACTTCAAATATCATAAAACGAACCAGTTTTTTTTTGCTTCAAAAATAGACGACTGTTTTCGTGCGATAGCAAACGTCGCATCTATGAATATTTTATGATCAAAGAACTCCCAATAAATTTGGAGCAGTTCGAGAATAGTCTAAAGGGTAAGTTCATTTTTTTGTGACAGTACTATTGAATGAATACGAGAATAACAGTCGCATGACGTTTTATGACGAGGCAACATTAAAATTTTAATCGCTACGTAAATCACAAGACATATGACGCCCACACACTGGTTGATACTCCCATTTCAAATGGAGTTCATTTCGTATGCGTTAAAAAAACATTTTTAATATTGTGTATTTTTGTATCAAATAAAGACCTGGTTTGTTGGTGAATACAACACGTGTCGTTTAACAAGACCTTCGGTGTTTTTTTTGTGGATGATCAAAGGCGAACATAATTATACTCCAGGGTAGATATTTCTATAGGCCCGTAATTTCTTATGAAAACCAAAAAACAAATCAATTGCGTCGTCATCGGGACTACGTCAAAATAGTTATTAATGAAACGACATTCCCGGCTACATAATAGACTTCGGGCGATGACGACTGAATTGAATGAGTAATTGGATGAACAGACATGTAATGCCGCATTAAGTACATTTATGTATCGAATATTAACTGCTTTTGGCACTATGCCAAAATTACGTTCATTTGCGTCGAAATTCCTCAGGCCAATTTTCGTGTAAAAATGTTCCGCAACTCATGAATAATTCCGGCTAGCACGGCCAATGCTGGATTTGGGTTAATTCATTTAAATGCGTCAAATACGATTTTCGATTGATTTGTGAGCCGACAAAGTAGTTTTTTTTCGGGTTCTTCAATTTACATTTTAGATTTATCCATTTTCAATTTACTATTTACTTATTCCATCGTGTACTGAAGGCATACACACACACGACGAAGCTTTGCTACGAAAATCCCTTTTTGTGTATCGTTAACACGTCGTTGAATTTCCATGCAACGTTCCCATTAAGTGAAATTGCACTATTTTCAGTTCAATTCCACTGCGCTCATGCCATGGCATCGATGTTTTCATCGAAAATCATGTAATTTATTCATTTAACACAGCAACAACAGAAGAAGAAGAGAAAAAAAAACGATGGAAAAATGTTAATTCGTAATTATGCTATTGTTTACCTGATTATCGATTCACTTGGTTTGAAGCGCAAAAGCTCTCGTGACTCAACTTCGTTCGGCACGTCACTTGTTGTTACATTTATCACTTGTATCGAACTGGAATGTGCTCGCTCGCATAAACTATTTAGACTCCCGTGCACCGCACTCGGTTTTAATTCGTGGTTTTTTTTTGGTTCTGTTTTTGTTCAAATTGAAATTCGATTTAGATTTAAGATTGAACTATGAACACACAATTTCACTAAGAATAGATACAGCGCTCTCACGACATTTCACATCAATGTGATCAATGCGCTGCCCAATCGAAATATTTCCGTGGTCACTACCTAATAAATGATGCATTTTCCATTAACAAAATGAAAAAACGACGTCTGCGGTTGCACTCGTGTCTTTTGGTTGTTCCATTTTTTGAGAAACGAAAAAAAACCAGCAATTGCTTCTGAATAACTATACTTTGTCAATCACGTGATAGCGAAGCGTCGCCACAAAATTGTGTGTTGATTTTCATGCGACACAATTCTTTACCCAGTGGATACAGTCCTTTGCTCGATTGCACCAGAATCAGAGCAAACTTTGTGTGAATCACTGGCAAACAACAAAATATAGAAGGAGAAAAACACGAAGCAAGAAGAAAACACCAGCAAACACACCGTAGAAAAAAAAAGTTCGTTTCGAAATCACGGAAAGTAATACCGAATAATTATAATTGTTCCATGGAATGCCTATGGTTTTTGCTTACGGGTTTGGCTCGTGTGTTATTTTGCACGAGCCGTTGTTCTTTGGAGCCGTTTTGGATTTATGTCGCTTTTTCAGCCCTTCGTTTGCTATACGTATTGTTTTTGTTATTTTTTCCCTTCTTCTTCTTCAGCACAAAATAATGAGTTGTTTCGTGTTTCAAATGTTTGAAAAATAATATACCGTTGCGTTACCTTCGTGAAATGCAGTCAAAACTGAAAAAAAATATCGGTCGTTTGGCTGCTTTATTCGTTTTTTTTTTCTCTCTCGTCCCGTCCGCTATGCCACACTTAATTGTTCCTTTGTTCTGTCATACTCGCACACGGTTTTCTGCATTTCGTGATCAGCTTTCGCGTCGAACTTTTGTTTTCGTAAATATTATTTTAATTTGCCGATTTCACTTCAACTTTTGATTGGTCATGGGTATTTGTGTCATACTTTATAATCAAATTGGGATCGGGTGTTCGTTCTTTTCGCTGCTGTAATTTTCTCTAGTTAATTCCACTCCTTGATCTACGCAACGCACCAACTTTCACTTTTTTGCACACAAATTTTCGATGAATATTCCGAGCGTCAACTCGTCCGCAGTGACAGCGCGATTGAATTCGAAGCATTAGAAAGTGTAAAACAAGCGCTAAAAAAGAGCGAAGAAGAGAAACAAGTGAACACACTTCGTGTGTGTTGTTCGTATTGGTGGAAACGAGATGGTAAATACTCATCAGATTGCGAGTAGATATGAAGTCGGAGATGGTACGATACACTAAGGGAAAAAAAGGAAAAAAATACGAAAAAAGAGAAACACCAGGGAAATTTGACAGATAACGAGATGGTTTCGTGAGCTTTATTTACTCTCAATACATTTTGAGTCGAGTGTTTGCGTGCGCTTGTGTTTATTCGTGTATGTGTGTATGTGTATGTGTGCCCATTGGCTCGTTGAACTGAAAAAGGGGTTTATTAAAACAAACCAAATGTCACATTGATTATACATACAGTAACATTTCAAGCCCATGATGAAGCAAGGAAAAACACAAATACACACACTCGTAGCAGGCAAAAACGTTAACATTAAAGCACTACGGGCAAATGTCATCCATTTGCTAACGAGTGTGCGCACTATTTTTATGCCCACTTTATACCGTATTAACGCGAGAGGTCACACATTTTATGGAGCTTATTATTAAGCGATTACATACAAACGGCAATTGCCATTCTACAGCTTTTTTATATAAACATGCGCCGCAGAAGAAAAACATCCATTGACATTCCAGGATTTCCGTTAGTTTCGGTTCAATTCGATGGAATTGCGTTCAATTTAGAAATGGCTTTGGAGAATCAATGCTAAAATTGCTCGTTTAAAATCGTGGGTAAAGCAATAAAAAAAACTCCAATTTCATCATTGAACTGGTTCCGACGAGCTTTTATTTCCAAAATCTGCGGAAAATTTCCCCTCTTTTTCCATTCCAGTCCACACACTGCGAAAAGAAAATCGGGATTGTTGTGTAAACGAGTGAACTCTGCTATCGTTTTTCATCTCATTGCCGCATGTATAAAATCACACCGAACTTTTCCTCAATGGTATAAGACTTTGCTCTATCCATCTCGTCACGTTCAACCATCCAATGCGTATTTGTGTCGTGAACGACACACACACATACACACAATTTTACACGCACACAACCAACAGTGGGTTCCCCGTTCGCTACGCGATATATCGAGACTGGAAAGTTGCCAAAGAACGGTGTTTTTTTTATCGTATTTGAAACGTTCTTCACATAGACAGTTTGGCTCTAGTGTGTTGTTATTTTCTTATGTTAGTCATCGAATTGTTTGCCTTGGTTTGGTTTAACTGTGTATTTGTGGCGTTTGTGAGAGAGAATCGGGCAAAAGTTTGACGAAAGCGAGGCACACACGCTCAGTCTTACTCAGTAGCCCTTCAGTCTGGTCGATTGAAAAATACTTCATTTTCAATAAGAACGCACATACAATTCTATTTCATATCGAGACAAGCACACACTGCTGATTCTGTGCATTCCAATTGAACTGAAACCAAACAAAAAAGGAAGGAAGGAAAGAAACAAGCCCAGAATGAAAAAAAATGGAATAAAGACAAAAATCAATTTTTAGAAACTTTGTAATCATCAAGAAGAACAAGAGCAAAGAAAAAGAAATACAAATCAAATGTGAAGAGAGAGAATCAGATGGAAAAAGTGGTGCATGGAAAAAAGTCACAGTGAATTTTGTTTGATAATAATTTTCGGTGGCACAAATGAATAAGGAATAAAACGACGACGACGAACGTAAAGAAACAGAACCAAAAAACAAACACAACAACTAAATAAAAAGGAAGGCATGATTACGAAAAGGCTGCTGCTCCCATTTCCCAATTATTTTTCTTGCATACGATTTCTGTATTTGTTCTCTCGCTAAAATATATGACATGTACATTATTTTGTCCTCTTTCATCGTGTTGGCTGGTGTAGTTGGTGTTGCTGCTGGTTTGCCTTGTCTCTAATAAATTACAATTTAACGGTACGGATAATATTTCGCAACGATTTGTTTCGTTCATTTCGTTCGTTTTTTACGTTTCATCGTTGAGAAACACTGAGTATTATACATTTGTGCGGTGGCCCCGTGCTGGTGCTATAGGTGTGTGTGTGTATATTGTTTGTGACTATTATTTCGCTTCATATTATCAACCCTGCTTTATATGTGTAAGAGCTTCAGAAAGTGAAACAAAAGTTTAAAAAAAGACACTTTTTCTGGTGCTGTGCTTATTGCTTAAAAAGGATAATATTTTCGTGTTGGCATAAAGTAAAATACTCTCAACATACACCTCTAAATAGATACGTATCAAAAGTGAGCGAAAATTTTGGACGAACGAAAAAAAAGTAGCAGCAGCGGATTCATTTACATTTGAAAATCAGTTCACGTAGTTTTTATTCTAGTTCGTTCGCCTTGCATGCCCATCGTAATCCATATTAATAAATAAATTAGCATTTGTGAATGCGTTGATGTTCCAACGACTCGGGCGACAATCGGCTATCCACAAAATGAGCACATAAAAACATAAACCTTTTGGATTTGTTTATCGCAGTAAAAACGTGCACCATCCGAAGATTAGCTGCTTCGCACCACCATCGAGTCGAGGAAAAGTGAAAACGAAGAAAAAGCGTGTCTGCCTGCAGTGTGACAGAAGGTGAAGATCGCTGAAAAAAGTAGTCGAAAACAAAAGGCAAAAAAAGTTCTTTTGATTATTATTGCTTATAAGAAACGGCGGAATATGGACCAGCATGAAAAATGGCTAGAAAAACAGAAAATTGCGCTCTCACATGTTTTTGCTATTGAAACATGAGACGTACTAGAGACAAAGATCATTCAAACATAAACCGAAGTGCGTGCAAAGTGTTTTTGTGTATAGAAAATAGAAAATCACGTAAAAATTGCAGAACCGAACAAAAAAAAATGTAGTGTACGCAACACAAATTCAAGTGTGCTTCAAGTTTTTTTCAGTCAGCGACGCGTTGTGTTTTACGTGTGTGAGTGTGTTGTTGCTGTGTACTCTAGTCATCAGCAATAGTCTGTAAGCCGATGCAAGGTAGCAGGTTTTCATCATTCATCCCTTCGCTTACAATCATGCAACCAGCCCGTTGTTCGTAGCCCGTTGAACTATAGCGATAGCCTGGCAGGCATCAGCAACCAACCAGAACACATCGAACAACAACACAAAAGTCACTTAACAAAAAGATACAAAACGTGGGCTCGCACGACGACGACGGCGGCGAAATCGAAACGTCGGATAAAATCAAGCTACTTCGTTCACTGACGCAGCATAATAAACATACAAAACAAATAAAGTAAGGCAATCAAGAGAAAAAGAAGAAGTTGAGCGAGATAGAGAGGGAGAGAGAGCGAAAATAAAAACCCTAAACGAACCGACCAAATTATTTCGGTAGCATTAAAATTGTATAACCAAATGATAAATTATGTGAGACGCGCACATTCATAAACATTTTCCCATTTGAAGCTGAAATAAATGGACGTTTTCCGTCGAGTGCTTTAAGCAAAGGAGGAGGTCTCTGCAAAGGGAAAAAAACCATCAACAGATTTTCTTTCTTCATGTGGATATATGTGCGATTGTGCGTACGTACGTATTTTGTTGTGTGTATCGTGTGCTAAAAACCATCGTCAAGTTACAATATATAAATCTCTGTGCGACGCCACTAGTGCTGGAGTTAAATTGTCATGGGCAATCATCCAGAACTTGATGTGGGAAACTAACGAAAAAATATAACCCACACTCACACACACACACACACACACACACACACACACACATCGCATAGGGAGAGGGAGAGAAACGCAGAAAAAATAAAATAAAGGCACATCGGATAATAATGGCCAACGAAGGGAAAAAGAACCGAAATATTCATTCAAACAACGAACGAATTTTCATGAGGTTCAAGATTCGTTCGTTGTGAACTAACCAACAGAAGAACAGAGAATAAAAAGCACAGCACAAGCAAACGGCACACCGACTCTTTGTATATTTCCCTGTTGGCAAATCGACGTTTGGTCGCGCGCGTTTAACCATCTATCAATCGCATAATATAACAAGACTATATGCATAAGTTTACGTCGTGTGAGCGTAATTCCGACGATTTTGTGTTTTTTTTTCTCTCGTCTTGTCGTTGTTGTTGTTCTTTTTTTGGGTCAAGTGAATTTTATATCTCAATTTACGGCCAAGATTGAAATGCTGGAACAAGACTTCAAATCGATGTAATTTGTTGAGCGTATTGCTCTTCCACTCAATTTGATTGGTGATTTTGACCCATTTTTTCCCCGTGTATGTTTATGTATATGATACCAACGAACTGAACACACAGCAAAGACGATAAAGCCGCAAAAAAACCCACCACCATCAACAAAAACTATAACAGAACAACAACAAAGTCAAGTCACTCAACCAACGACGACGACGACGACGACGACAGCAGCAACGGCAGATTGTGCATCTGATGGCGTGCACTTTTGAAAAAAGGCGATAGAATTTTTAAAAAGGTTACGTTTTATCCGCATACAGAAAATACATGTGTATGCCGTAAGCGGTATATTTCCTCTTTTTCCCGTGTGTGTGCGCGCAAAAACGAACGAACGAATCAACGTTGAGAGCAAGAAAGGGAGAGAGAGAGAGAGAGAGAAACTATGTCATAGTGATTAAATTGTGCATATATAATTGGATAAACAATCGAATAAGTGAGCTGAGAATAGTGCAGAGAGTGTATTGAGTAACAGAGCGAATATTGTATCCAGGAGCAGCAGAACAGGCGGTGACGACAACTGCAACAACGGCAACGGTGGTAGCTGTTTCATTCGGAACACTGTCGATTTCGTTATTTTCCAACGGTATCAACTCGAATGATCTCTAACATATGTACAAACATGGTAATGAAAGCTTCAATAAATAGCATTAATTTTATACAAGAGATTAATCGATAAATACCCGCCACAAACCGTCAATCACCTATCCAACCCATTCCCATCCCACAAACGAAATAATAACCATTGCCGAAAATTATGACAAGAACATAAAAACGAATTTTTTTCTAAGCTTCAACGACACAAATTGTTTTATCGCTTTCGAGTATGCTGGCAACTCGACGACGGCGACAATAACACGACATTGGCTTGTTTTTTTGTCTCATAAGCAATTCCAGTGTAATTAGCGGTATTCATTTTCTAAGAAGCAATTACAATGATAATGATTGTTCCCAAAAAAAACGAATGCTCCGTTTTTTTCCTCATCATATATTCTCGTGTGTCTAAAAATATAATATCAAAATCAATGATGAGAACAAATTTGCTCTATACATGTAAGTTTTCAACAACGACGACGGCGGCGACGACGACGATGACATCGAATAAAAATGGATTTGTTAATATTACAGAAGTCATCAAAAAAGGCGACTCGATTCTATTCGCTTTGTTTCATTTCGAATGTCAAGCTCTGAATGGGGTGGCAAGTTGAGGCAAGAACAAATAAAACCATTGACAGCACCCAAGACTGAATGGGAAACCAACAAAAAAAGAACAAAAAAAAAATGTGAATTAAGTATTGACTTTGTGGTTTTCAACCACATTTCATCCTCGATCGCTCACTAGCGCCAGCTCTTTCGAAACAATCATTTCATTTGACGACATCGATACATTACAATTTCGGGATTTATTCCGATATCGTTTCATTTTATTATCAATTGCCATTAATAATTTGGAAATTTGATAACAATTTCGATAAGCCTTATGATATGTCAATGTAACGGCGTCCCCAAAAAACAAAGCAATAAAAGTAGTGTGGTATGAGCGATGTTGATGGAGCTGCTTTTGAGTGTGGTGTTGACACGAATATAAGCAGCCAATGTAAAAATAGATACCTAATTGTTTTCAATTTTGTGGCCTGTGCCTTTGAACAATGGTACATCACAGAGTGAGTGGAACAATGGTACACCACTTTGAACGTACGTGCTGCACTCAAGGTAACGCCACTTACTTGCATTTATTTCGAATACTGTTCCGAATGTGATGGCTATATGATGCGTTTTCTTTATTGTTGTTGGTGTTCAAAAAAATTCCGCATTTTCATGTACTGAATATGTATATGTAATGCTATACACTTATTAAAAGTTGACATGTCGTCGTGAAAATTGCGCAAATGGAAAGAATATTAACTGTCACCAAGAATTAGATCGATTTTAAGTGTGTCTTTTTGTCATGATTTATTTTTAGGGAGGGCGAATGTCATCTATTATTTAAGTAAACTTTTGTGACACGAATCATATTTTCAGCGTTAAGCAATTTACTGTTAAGACGGTATGACATTGAGTGTGAAACGGTTCTTGAGCAAGAAAAAGACGATTCGAGTGTTCATTGTGAGTGTATTGTGAGTTCATTGGAATGGCAGAAGCAGCAACAGCAGCAGTACAAAAAGATGAAAGCGTTTCCAACATTCACTCCATGAACGGCAACGGTAGAATGGTTGATTTAAAATGAAACCAAATGGGTTTTTAATGGAAAATACCAGCAAAAGTCAATTAAATATTCTCTCGTTCACTGAGTCTATGAATTGTTAATGGTTGAGTTTAAAGACTTCATTCTGATGGAAAAACCATTTCAAATCATTGGCAAGCCATTGTACGCGCACCACCGCAAGTGGGAGGAAATCAGAGAGAAGGGAAAAAACGGCGTTTCGTCTGCTATTACATAAGCGATTTCACATTATTTAACGAGCTGCAATAGAAAGCGACCCTAAATCAAATTGACAAAAGCGCTTGATGTTGTGTTGAATGTTAGCACTGAGCTACAACAAAATGCCGCATCAACATTTGTAATAAAATGGTATGTGAGCACACCGAGACACACACACACAAACCGTAAATGCAGGCACGCATCAGCTAACCCAACCAATATGATTATTCGCACAGCTCGTTGTTATTACAATCGACATTTTCACCAAATCACTTCCTAAATAATTAATTGCCTAATTCGACTTCTTTGTTATCTTTCCTCGGTTTACTCTTCGATCAGCTTGTAATACATTTTGTCTTGTTGCGGTTGTCGATACACATTTTCCTATAATTGTTAATGCAAAGAGAATTCACCCCAAAATCGCTTACGATTCGAAACAAAAGCCCACCGAAAGCCGCGCAATCGGCGCGGGGAATGGAACAACCGTAGTACGCTAAATGTGAATGGGAATGGCAAAAAGCTATGTGAACATGAAAAGGGCATGATGAAAAAATAGAAAGAATAAGAGAGAGAGAGCGAAAGCGAAATAAGTCCATTTTAGGCAAACGCCTATTGTGTTGTGTGCTCGATGAGTGTGAACGCGGCGTGTTTGGTGTGCTTGTGAGAACGTTCGATTTCGTTTCGAAGAGCTTTGGTTGTGTTTCGGTTTGAGCCACAGCAAATACGTTCCGTGATGAGGGTTCTATGCACAATCGTCTCTCGTGTGTGTAATTCATCATGTCGCCGTAATGTCTACGCGTCAAATTTCATTTTCCGTTTGCCGTCACTGGCTCCGCAGGCGACTGGGGGCAAGACATGGTATCAATTTGTCCTAATTCAACTATTTTGAACGATTTTTCCATTGTTTCTTCTAATTCCATAAGTTTTTGCTAATTTTTTAGTTTTTTCTTCTACACATTTAGTATTACCAATGCGTTCCTTATGGAGATTTTTGTTTTGTTTATTTATTGTTGTTTGTAAACAAATCTGCCTATCTTTTTGCATTGTCTCTGTGTATTTCTTATGGACATATACTATGTACAGTGCAATGCGTTGATATAGGCAGACTTGTTGACAAATAACGGTAAATAAACAAAACAACCTCCATAAGGAAATGTATTGGCAATGCTCAATGTATGGAACAAAAGAGTTTCAGTCTCTCTAATTTCTGCTAATTTTGCTATTTTTAAACGAAATATCACTATTTTTTTAATCGTGTCCGTCCCCTAGGCAGGCAAACATCGAATTCATTTGCTCCAATCATACCAAATGCTGTGCGTATGTGTGTGAGTATGTTTGTGTGTTTCGCTGTGGTCCTGAATTCCTGTTTCTGCTCCTTCGATTTCTTTATGCGATTTTCCTCATGCTGCTTTCTTTTATATCGCGTCAATCTCCCTTGTATCACATTGATTTCATTCACAAAAACTTGTTCCGAATCATTTTCACGTGTTCATTTCAAGGTATCAACCTTCTTTGTGTATGTTTTGTTCAATCACAATTCAATTTTCATCTTGGAATTCCATAAACATATTACCAATCGAAGAAGAAAAATTTGCTGAACTATAACAACCCATGAAGGGAGGGAAAGAGCGAGCGAGCTAGAGAAGAAGAGAGAGAGAATGCCATTATGAAAAGCAGCCGAAGCGAAAATGAAAGTTAGCAGCTGCATCGCTACCAGCAATAGCAACGACAGAGATGGCAGACGAGTTAGAGAGACAGAGGGAGAAAAGCAAACGTTGACTGATTTCGGTTTGATTCGATTTAAATTTGATATGACGAAGTGGTAAGCTTCGAGGCGCTTTCTGACAGATGATTGATTTATCGGTTTAGTGTTGTTTATACACTTACGCAATCATATTTCGTTTTTAACGGACTCTCTGCTGATTGCAATCTCATGCTCATCGTTTTAATTTGACATTTTTCATCTTTCATGACAGAATGGGCCCATTCAATGTGGCCATGCCATGATTCCGCACAAAAAAATTGTATTTCCAACCGAATCACAAACCACAAATCAAAAAATAAAAAGATCCCTGGGCGTTTTTTTGTTCATGATTTTTTTCCGTCATTTGCCAAGTATATTTTGTGCTGCTAGCAATCCATAGAGGCAGAAAAAAATCTTCCAAAATGGGAACATATGAGGAAAAGAACAAACATAAAACCAACAATTTCAAAATTCCGTTTTGAAAAAATAATGAATTCCCCTTCCAAAATCGACTGTCGAATCGACATACACAAAATTTTCGGTCCTATTGAAAGAGTAGCTTTCATTCAATCAACCGAAAACACGGAAATATGTATAGATCAACGTATACTGATTATTGTATCGCTTTCGGAATGTCTCTCAATGTACAGAGCTTGAGCGCGGGTAGTTGGCTGGAGCAGGCGAGCGGTTGGCAAAACACTATGTGTAATAACGTTCACAGAACGAGCCGATGAAATCTCACAATGGAATCGAGCTACAAGGAGAACGAAGCGACAAAAACATGAAAGATTGTTAATATTTAATCAGAAATCGATTTCTGTGCTGACGCGCTACTGCCATATGCACTGTTGCATATGGTGATATTGTCTGTTTGCTACTGTATGTTTTCGTGTGCTTATGCTGGTTGCGATATTGAGCATGTAGTCAACAATGTGCCGAGCGAACCGTGCACACATCACCACGCTCGAAATTGACGGCTGTTTTTCCTCCTTTTTTTCCTATGTCCGTGTGCACATTTTGGGTTTATGCACACCGCATGAACGATACATAAAAATACACCACTATACTAAAATTGGAAAAAAAAGTTTATTGCCTCATACGAATATTTTATTCGAAAAAGTTGCGAGAGCAAAAAAAAACACAAATCGAAAGAGAGGAAACAAGAGCTGAGCCGAGCGTTACACAATTTGATATATGCGAATCGCGTGGAGCTTTCGAAGTTCTTAATCATTAAAATTTTACGGGCAAAATGACGAAGAAGGTGTGGCAAATGCCACCGATGATCTAGCTCACTGTAAATAAGCCTTCGAAAGGCACTTTCAATAATTCACTTCGCATCGGATGAGCAAATGCTCTTCAATATTTTTTCTTTCTTGTGCCTGTTCTGGTTTTGTTTTCAATTTATTCTTTATTTTTTCAGCCATCAACTCCAAATGGATATATCGCAAAGTGATGAAGGTGACACCATAAAAAGTACCCTCTTTATGATGTAAACGCAATTATTTTACGATAATGGAAAATTGCTAAAATTTCTTCGAAAAACGTGCACGGAAAGTGTAAGCAGTTAAGAAAACATATATTCACCCATACACACATACACGCAACTTTCTGTCTCGGCAAACAGCTCTCCAAAATGTGAACGACGACGAAGACAACAACACCATCACGATATATCATATAGGGATAAATAAGTGCAGTAAACGTATTACACACACACACACGTGACACGTAATATAACGAAAAGAACGAGACCACTGAAATCTTTTCTTTTCCAAAAATGGCTGACGAGCCGGTCTTACAACAACAGACATTCAAAGAGAAACTGTTATTCTATATAACAGCATTCTTCGTTCTTCTAGGCACATTTAGTTTGTTCGCATTTCTCTTCCTGTAAGTGTTTGTGTTTCGTTTTTATTTTTAGAAACAAAGAAAAAAAAATACGTGATAGAATAAGTGGATGCATGAACAAGTGTATTGAATATCGATAGCATTTCAATATTTGCGATATCAATATTCAAACAATTCGGTGAATATTTGTGGAGTAACGTTTGTTTCTCTCTTTCCATTCTTTTTCCATTTTTCTATGAAATTCGTGCATCGTGTAGCGTACCATTTGTGATTGAACCAGCCTTCACTACCATATTCATGGAGTTTGATGAAAATCCTGCCGAATGCGTTACGGCCGAGGTGGAGCATTTTAAAGGTGCATCGAATTGCTCGTGGACATCGTGCCGTGAAGGTTGCACCAAAGAGGTGTACGAATGCACGCAAATCCGTGTCAATTACAAAGTATTCGATTCCATTGTATTCGACAATGATACAATGAGCGAAGACGATGAAGTTGCCGTCGTGGAATTGGACACGGGTCAACCAGCATCGGTTGCGGCAGCATTAACGCAATTCGCCAGTGATAGTACACAATCGAAGCAGCGGCAGCAGCATGCTGATGATCGCATTGAACGGGCAATTCGTGAATATGAATATGTCGATAGCTATGATCATTTGCATCGTGAATCGTACAAGAGTGCCGATGGTTTAGAATTTATGGAGTATCCCGAAGTGCAAGATTTGCCTGGCCAAACGGATAATACGTCGGAATGGTATTTCACCGGCGCCCGATTATTCCCAAATGTTAAAGGTAAACCATTTGATTCTCTTTAACAAAAAACAATCGAAAAAACGCAGAAAAAACATTTTTTTTCTACGCTTCAAACCTTGCTTACCAATTCGGTTTTTGTTCTTGATTCATTTCCAAAAAATTAGGATGTGGCTATCCACCGATTCTCAACTGTAGTATATGGACGAAAAAATTTATAAAGATCGGAACGAATTTCTCGTGTTATTATTCACGTGTCGATCCGGGTCTTGTAATTAGTGATTTAGATTTGAGACGAAATATGCTCAATTTAATTTATGCCATGTTTATACCGATACCCTGTTTTATCGTGTCGGTCATCTATTTGACATTTGCTTATTTCAAAATTTATAATGAAGATGAAGAGGCGGCGCCTCTTGGTCAAAATGCGGAAAAAATTGCGGGCGAAGATGAGGTGGCGGCGGACACCGACCAGGTTGATGTTATCGTACCAAACGGAACGGCTACGATATCAGTTGCTTCGGTACCAGTGACACCGACATCGAATGATGTGGCTTCGTTTGGCCATCAGCTCAAAGTGAAAATGGCCGATGAAATGAGTCGCGAAAGCTTAGACGGAGGTTTCATTTCGAATTCAGGTTCAATACAAGGGTAAGTGTTCAATTTTTTTTCCGCCAAAAACATCGCATCAAACATTTATTCAGATTTTTTATGATGATAATCGTATTTGCTCGAATTTCCATACCATCTCGTATTCATCGTTCGCCCTTTGTTCCGGGCGGCCAATATGCAAGCGAAACAAGCAAATTATGTGTACTTATTAATTCACAAAGGAATTTTCGCAATTTCACATTGCATTGCACAGGCGAAACAGTTCTTTTTTGGTTGAATCAAGAAAATGTGTCTTATTAATGGAATGTACTTATGGCCGGAGAACGAGTGCCGGATTGTTAAATTGAAGATTTGACTGGAGATAAAATAAAACTTGGTTCAATAATAAATGTTTTCATTTCAGCATCAAAATTCACAAAACTTGATTCGTCGCTCTGATTTCTCCAGGGAATTATTTTTCCTTTCAAGACACAACTTTTTTCTCTTCGGCTTCGGGGTTTTGCCGCTCTCTTTCTCATACTCAATCACTTTTTGCGTTTCTTGTTTTTTGCCATTTTATTGGCAACGCTACATCCAGCCCAGAATTTCGATGTGTTGGCAAATTACATGTTTCAATTTGAGCCGAGCATCACTACTAGATCAACTGCCAAGGAAAATGTTCGCAACTTTCCCGCTTCTTGTCGTCAAACATGATTCTGTCATTAGCAAAGCTCGATTATATGTATGTTCCTTTCCAAGTACAGTTTTTTTTTCTTTTGCTCCAACTCCCATTCGCAAACCTCATTCGTCGTCTTATCACAATGCAAAGCCGCCATACCCATTTGAATAAAATTCATGATACGCAAAAAGTCGGCCACCTAGTGCTTTATGATTTTGTTTATTAAGTAGTCATTTAGCGCAAATTGTATACGAGACTTCTTTGCGCACCATGCAAAGGCGAAAAACAGACTTAGCACATCTCTTTTTTTCATGTGCCTTTCGTAACCAGTCTCAAACATGCACACAATTTTAATGACTGTTTTTCGGATAGAAAATCATTTTTGACATGCGGGGAAAAAATCACGTCGAAACATAATGGAATATGAACATTGTCAAGAGCATCTTTCATTACAGTCATAAATTATCGTCCTATTTTTTTTCGTTCTGTCTTGATGTGGCACTTTGTAACTTAATTACTTCGTCTTGCCTTCGAGGCAATGCTTTTTATGCATCCATTGAATTTATCTTGTGTCATAAATTAACTTTACATTCCAATTAACACACGCTTACACAAAACCCATTCACTGTGTGTGTCGGGTTTTATGGATCGGGTTGTGAGCAAGCGCGCGCGCATACAAGTTTTTCAAAATGTTTGTCTCTCTAACTACGTAAAAGTCACTACGAAATGACTCATTTGATCCTTTTTTCTCTCTTTTCTTTTCCATCTCTCTCCCTCTGCGTATCTGGTTGCATATCCGAATAGAAATTTAAGTAAAACGATGACAACTAGTATTTCAACACCACCCGGACCAACCGCCGCTGTCTAATAGCTCGAATGTGATTTTAGGCACTTTGTTTTTTTTTTTTAATTTTATTTCATCTTTAAGTAATTTATAAAAGCGCAAACTGATGACGTTTATTTAGTTTGAATGGAATGTGCGCCAAATACAAGCCCCATTTCAACAAACACGACACTTTGAAGAAGTCACCACACCATTTCATGGACGACCGAACTGCTATTCAACCGCAAGATGCAATTATCCTTTCACTACACAACAATTCATTACAACACTATTTGTACAATCGAGAATTCGAATTCGCTATACACAAACTCACATACACATGAGCTAGCTGGCACGATGACAGCCGGAATAAATCACAATACACAAAGTATCACTAAGGCTGCCAACTCTACTGATTTTTTCAGTAGACTAATAAAATTCGTAAAAAAAATTCGTGTGTCGGAAGCAAATTCTTGTTTACACATATGGAAAGAGGAAGTCCCAAGGATGTTTTCTATCTGATCAGATTTCCCGGAAAAGTCACTGGAGCCAAAATATGGCCTCATATATAAAATTAGGGTCATTTTCAGTACATTTTATTTTTACAAAATCTTCCATATTTCCCGAGTTTTCCAAGATTTTCCAACCATTTTCATTTTATGAATGTACGATCGTATGCTGAAAACGAATTCAAGAAAATTTCCCGGAAAATTGCAAATCCTGGAAAATTTTCCGAAATTGAACTTATCGCTATAAAAGGAAAATGGAAAATCGGAGAAAATTATGAGAAGTCCCATTCGATCGGGCGGAAAATTTCATGGGGATGGTAGCCGAAGGCCGAGATTTGGGGCCTAAATCCAGCCGTTTCCGAGATATTGCGAAAAAACTGGCTTTGGTACTGAATTTTTCAGTATTTTTTAGAAAATAGTTGGCAGCCTTAAGTATCACCATAACAAAGAAATAGAAAATGAAACGAAACTAGCAAATTTACGAAATGTTCAAAATGAAAATGATATTTCTATATGACACCAACAACAACAAGAATCCCGATAAGTTCAAGCAAAAACACAAAAAATATCTGTTAGATTTCGAATGATAGACTGCATACGTTCAGAATAGACGTTCCGAATAGAAAGTCGTCTTCGAAACAATGTGTCGTCGGTTGTCAATTCATTGACGGACGACAATTACTCAGATTTTATCAATGGACAATTACCGTTTCAATTTTATTCCAGTAAATCGATATGTGTTTGTTTTTCAAGAGAGTTAAATGCTGATAAGAAAATAACAAACAGATATTTCCATTCATTTTTCGCCGAGTTTTAGTAGTTTTTAAGAATGCTTTAAAAAAGGATTAAAGTCGGTCTCCCGCGACGGCTATTGATTTATTGACCAAAACAAGAGGAACGAATCGAATGGACGAAACTCCGTTTTACCGGGAATTGCCATGCAATGGAAGCTAATGTCATAAAAATACACTGTATTCTTATTATATTCGTTTATTGCCTTCATTCTTGTCAGTGAACAAAACGCTTAATTACCTCAAAACGAAGCTAAATGCAAAATGATTGCTATTTTCTTGTTTAAATATTCGAACAAAGGAGTTTGGACAGCATAAGGAACGGGTCGACCGAACGACCAACATACTATAGAAAAATCGTGGAAAAAATCCCATTTGCACCGTTGGGATGCGAAAAACATTTTTCGCTGTCCAAACATTTCCGAATTCATTTACGGCACAACTTTCTGATTGGCAGTTCTTATGAAATTCATTTCATAACGACCGAAAATCCAACACACACACACACACAAGTTTGATTCATGAACGAAGTTTCAATATGCAAAAACCAACATTTATTTTTCTTCTTCTCTCTTTTTCTCTCACTCGATTTAAATGTTATTCCAAGAGCGCAAAAATTATTTCCACCGAACACATGAAAAAGAGTTGAAAGAGCAAAAGGAAAAGAGCGAAAATTTATGTTGTTGCAATTTAAACTGTATTCACCATGGGCTAGAAATTAATTTTAATTGAAATGCTTCACAAGTACCTACAATTAACGCGCGTGTGACGTCATATTTTCTGCTATTGTTCTAGTTCCCAATGAATATTTATAGATGAAAAAGAAGAACCGTTAAAAAAACCAAAATCGTGTATTGAAATGCGAGACCAGAGCTGTAGAAAAAAAGTTGTTGAATTGCATCTCGTTTCGAGAGTGAGGTTGTATTATTATGCGCGCATTTGAGCAAATCGTTCTAGAAATGCTTTCATTTGTTAATCGTGGCTATATGGAGCTTTCGCCATTTGACAAAAACAAATATTTTTGTTTTCTATTTGTACATAAACTTTAAGCGTATAACATATAGAGCTAAGGCAAAATTTCAAACCAAATGAAATAATCTATTAAATATGTTATACGGGCGATATGTTTTTAAGTCTTTTCGTTTCGACATGTTTTTGCGCGATTTTATCGACTTTACAAGTACAATTGACAATTCATAACAAAAGATGAAAATTTTTATTATATTTAACCTTACGTAGCGTAAAATTAAACACAACTAAAAAAAGTTCTAAGATATTTTTGGTCCTCGCATAATGTTTAATCGTGAAGAAAAAGTGAAACAATATTTTTCAAATGAATTTTTCTCTATTCTATTGTTGTTTTTTCGAACTATTTTAGTGGATATTTTTTCAAAATACTTTGGGTAATTTTCATTGGACTTTTTTTTCGTTCGTTTTGAGATATGGAGATGAAAGTGCAGAGCATTACGCTTTTAGCGATCTGTGCTTGGAAACAGAAAAAATGTAAAGAAAAGTTGTCTAAATTTAATCGAAACGGAGAGATATTCTGTTTTGCTTGAAACTCAAACTGACCCCAAAACAATCACTTAATCTCAAGAGAGAAACTAAGGAAAAATACTTGAAAAAAAAGACAATCCATTGTAAAATATAAACAATGGAAAACCAATTAATTATTATATATAGGAATGTGCATTTTTCCCGTTATTTCCGTTTGCCTTACACAGTATGCACATTGCACAGTCTGCAATTTTTGCTGATGCTGCGAATCGTTTTACGGATTCACAGCAACGCGTGAAACGTGCGGGTTGTGCAAGGTCAGCGGAATGAACATTAAATATATTGTGCTCTTTGACACACACACACACACACACACACACACTAACTCACCTCTAGTGTATAGAAAAAGCGTAAAGAAAGGAAAATAGGGACTATTGCCTGTGATTTAGTCTGTCCTAGGAAACGAAGGAAATGATTGAAGTTTATGTGTAACTCGTAGTGAAAAACTATATATGAATTGGTTGCAATTGAACGAGAGCGAAAGAGGAAAATTGCGAAACCCGCGCATATTCGATTGACGTCACAAATTGTGTACAATTTGTTGTCCCAAAACCTTGTTGATTTTTTCGTTTTGCCACACATCCAAAGACTTGAAACCTTTCGAATCAGATAAGCAATAATCCCAGACATATTTCATGCCCGATCAAAGAAGATAAAGACACTTATCGAAATTGATCGAAATCAATTAAAAACTAAACGACTTGGTTCATTTGCATATCATACCGCATTAGATCCCTTAAAACATCATTACATTTGTTACTTCGGTTTTCATTTTGATGTGCAATATTAGTTAAAACTGCTCAGTACAAACAAGTTTAGAAAGAAAATAACCGGATCAGTAGCCTACATTCTATGTAGTGCTTAGAAGAAGAAGAAGAAGAAGAAGAAGAAGAAGAGAGGTCACGAATATCACGTCCCTGGGTGATGTTTCGAAAGAATGAGTTTTTTTTTCAATGTCAAATGCATTCAAGTTAAGTTACCCTGGCCAATCAGCCATTTACTGAGTATAAACGGTGAACGTAAGATGTATCCTTTCCTTCATAGTGTTTGTGGGCAAACATTACTATTAACCACAAGCAGCACTTTGCAGACAAAAAAACCAAGCACAAAATTGCAATTAGGATTCGACAAAGCAACCAACGAAACAAAACAAGAGTTAAAATATGAGTGAAGATGATAATGAACAAAAATAAATAAATAGTAAAATATACATGATCAGCTTTTATGATATAAAGACTTTGCTGCTCTTTTTCTTCATTAAGCTACCTAAATTGTGAAAGATCTGACTATGATTTCGTTTTGTTTGATTTTTTGTAAATACATTTTCGATGCGCATATGACAACAACAACAAAATACTATATTGAAGAGAAGAGAAAAAAAAAACAAACAGAAAAAACTCTATTGAAATTTTTAAAATACCAATTTTTATATGTAAAATAGACTAAACTACGTTACAACAAGACAAATGTTTGAACAATTTAAAGAAGAAATTCTAGTGCTTTATTAACAAAGAAAAACCATTTGAGAGATTTAGAAAAGTTATAAATTAAAGGAACAAAATTACCAAAAAAAAAAAAAAAATAACACACACAAAAAAACACTAACATTATAGTTACGTATAAAATATGAAACAAAGAGAACAAAAACCAAATACCAGAATTATATATATATATGCTATTAGATAAAAAGATTTTTTGAAACCCTTGGATTTAGCTGTGTTCGATAACAACAAACAAACAATTCCGTTTGCAACAACTGCACACATAGTTTAACCCCGAATCAGATGCGTTCGATTGACATGTTCTGACGTATTTCAACGTAGTAGAGAAGGAAAATCATTTTCAATAATTTCACTAAAATAATAAAAGAAGAGAAAAAACCTAGAGGAGAGCCAGGTTATTTAACGTGATGCAATCGCTGTTAAACGAATTTTATTCGATCGAATGGACGCCGTCGGTCGAATTGACCATCCGTGGTGGCGCGCGTGAGCGACCCACCGAGCGACCAAAACAAACAAGAGCCAATATACAAAATGCACCATGAAATTAATTAATTTGACACGCTATTGAAAACTTTCTGACGGAAACATTCATCAACAGCGAGCGCTGTTATCGATTTCAAAATTTCATTTGACGTTGTCGCCTCCGCCGTCGCCACTTTTGATGTGTTTCGGTGCGACAACACATTCATTATGGACCATGTCATTTTCAATCAGCATTTCGTGCCGCTTTTATCAGCGATCGACAAACAGAAAAACAGAAAATTAGTTGAAAAAATAATGAAACATTTTAATGAATATTTCTCTTATTATCGAAGTGAAAACCAATAACCGAGAACAAAACAATGCCGGAACACCCTGGGTGTTGAATTTAGGCCACATCTTTTGAACACAAACAACACAACATGCACAAAACTGCATCCATTCATCACGTACAAATATTCAGCGAATATACAAAAAACATTACCGTACCTATGCGGAGGGAATATGTTCATCTATCTGCTTGCATAAAATGAAATGTACAAACGTAACGCGGTGTTTGAACCTTTTTCTTTTTGAACAAAAGAACTCTGACGAAACAAACGAAACAAAAAAAATCCCTTTCCCACAATCATTTTCACGCCATTCGCAGTGACAACTTCACACATTCACAATCACACAGAATATACGCCAGAAACTGATTTCAGCGACAATTACTACCGAATATTCATTAAATTTGCGAAAATATCTTTGAAATGAATGCGACTTTTAAACATAGCCATTTTAGAGGAACAATTTTTTTGCCGTTGTTGCTAGGTGAAATGATGTGCACATTAACATAAACACAAACACACACACACTGAAATTTGAAGAAAAAGAAAAAGAAGAAGAAGGCGCAAAAATGCAGATGAAAAGGAAGAAAAAAGAGAGAATAAAAGAAATAATCGAAACACTTATAAATTGTGAGCAGGCATTCTCTTAAGAAAGACAATTCACGGGAAGAATGGAAAACGCATAAAATACAAACAAAAAAACAGAATAGCATGCTACTTTTAACACGAATTATTATATAATTTCAATGGAAATGGACTCATACAAAACCAAAATTCATCTATTAAAACATTTTAAAAAACATTTAAAAACAAAAACTGATGCAAAATAAAGAAAAATGTTGTTGAAAAAGCTTTAAAAACCAACTTAAACTCCTAACGAAAATGAAAACAAATTGCGTTTTATTTTGACAGTTCAATTTCTATTTTCTGGCTTTTTCTTGAACATCCTTTTTTTCATGAAGCAGTGCAACCAGTTCCCGAATCAAATTGGATTCGAGGAGCTTAGAGTGGGATAAAAAAGACAACAACAACAACGGTAAGTGTTTGCAAAAAAGGTAATTCGGGGTTATCAATATTCAATCTGCAGCATTCGCTGTGCAACATATTCGATGCTACGTAATCACATGCATATTAAAATATTCATATTTGAATACTTTGCCTAGATTTGACGAAAGAAACGAGGTGGATTTTTCCATCGTTTCTCGCTCTTGTCTGCCTACACGAACACGTGCACTTTGTTTATAGCATCGACGATAAGGATATGTAATGTTTTGTAATAAGAGAACCTTAATTTAAAAGTCGGATAATCGTAAATATATTAGCATCATTTCCATTGATTATCTCCATGACTGCCGGAAGCGGCTTCGGTAAATTGAATTCGACGATCGAATAAATTAATGATGATATATGATGCAAGAGGATAGAGTTGCTCAAGCCAATTATATAATAATCTATTTGTTTGTTTCTAATACCAAAAGTCATTACTTTCGAATAAATTTGTCTTCAAACAAGAATGAGGAAATGTTCAATTTCACCTATCGGCCGGTAGATGTCGTCACATGCAAAAACCGCACCGTCAATGTATTGGTGTGTAATTTTGACAAGTGAGTAACAGCATGTGTTTCGTTTGACATAGAATAGCGATTGTTTTGAAGTGGCGGTCCATTCTCTCAGCGACGAGAGAGGAAAAGAGAGAGAGAGCGACGGAGAGAAAAAAGTGAGCGAGCGCACGACACAGAGACAACACTGAAGAAATTGAAGTACAAGCGAGAGCTGTCAAAACACACTTGAGCATTTGGTTCGTCGTAATAAAGTATGCTTTGTACTGTCATTGGCAGTAAGTGAGTGTACATCGACCGTGAATATCAAAAATACCAATAGTAGCACAGAGCAGAGCAGAAGAAAAACACAACATCAACGCAAATAAATAGTGTTAATTTTGGTTTTTTGTTCGATTCGTGTGTGGTTTATTTGGCGGTCGGTAAATTCGGTGCGAATAGTTTCCATCCGAAATTCCACCGCAAAACAATGAACATCGTCATCAAAATGTGACATTTGTGCAACGAAAAGAAGCAAAAGAAAAAAACACGGGAAGAAGAACAGAAAAATTGGGTTGAAGACAAATTACGTGCCGTGGAAAAGCCAACCATCAATCGTAATAGTGTTTTTCAAGTGGGGAAACGAGACGAGAAGTAGAAGAAGAGAAGGCCAACGGAATCAATGCGAATTTTTCCACAGAAATAATGGAAAATCGCAAAGATATTTACAACTTGTGGATTCAATACACAACAAAAGTATGAAGAAAACACATTTATTGCCTGGTTGTTTATGTATTTGCTGGATGAACGTACTATATTTTCGATTCGTTTCTGTTTTTTGTTAATGTTCGTACTTGTATTGGTTTGCTGACACCATCGGAAAATTGTTCCGCTTCTTCAGAGAAAAAAAAACAAATGTGTTTATTTTTCACTCGCTCGCGTTCACTTACTTGTTCGTTCATATCTTAATTACATTTTCTTCTTTAAATTCTGTGTTGATTCAATATTTCGGTGGTGTGTGGCAATGTAGCAGAAAGTGCACAATGCATACACTGTTACACTGCACTGATTATTATTATCTAATACAAATACAATAACGATTTTACTTTCATCTGAACCAACACCTAATTTTGATTTGTTCATGTTTTTGTACCTCTTTTTTCTTTCTTTCTTTCTTTTTTTCAATTACAATGTAAACAATGTATTAGCTTAAACTAATTCAATGAATAGAGTATCGTTATATCAGCGTCGATTACATATTTGATGCATTTGTTTTATTTTCTCTGTTGATTGCAATGGGTGAACGATCGCAAATATTTGATTCGTGATAAAAGGGAAAAATTGAATCATGGTGTCGAATGAGCGAACGAGACATAGACATAGAGAGAGAGAGAGAGAGAGAGTGAATGAAACAGTGCAAGAGAATAGAGCGAATGCGTTCAAGTGTACTTGTAAACAGGTCTATTTAAATGCGATCATTGACAATGAAACACACAGACCATTCACTTATTATTTTCTGTAATGGATAGAGAGAGCGACAGACGAATGCTTTCACGTCGTTTAGTGTTCGCACATATAACTTACACACGTATATCTCTACAAATACAATGTCAAATGGGCCGCAACGTAAGTGCATGTTGTTGTGTGCTTGCAAATGTGTGATAAAACGTTGAATGTTATCAGATAATCGAATTGTGTATGATTCATTGACAGTGATGGAAAGCGGCGGAATCAATGTGTTTCGTTATTACTTTGAATTAGAATTCTTTGTAGATTCTCATTCTCTCACTACGGCTATATATTCATCCTGACTTTTTCTGCATGGAAACAGATGCTGATTACAGCATTCGAAATTGATGCAACACAAATTCATCCAATATCGATGTGTATATTTTAAAAATGTTTTGATGCAAAACCAACAAAAGACCTTAACATTTCCTCTATGAACACTGTCACGTAGTTAGCGAACACACCAACGGCAATTATATGCAAAATCCCCCCTGAATTATTATTATTAAACACAAATAATCATATGTTTACGTTTTCGAATTAATTAAATTAAGTTCATTCGTTGGTTCGGTCTCTCTTTCTGAATGAGTTTTTTTGGGTTTTGACATGACACTCACCGCAACCATGTCATATATGTGTACTAGTACATACAATATTCAAGCACGGAGGATTAATGATTAATATGCATGGGGAGAGACACCATTAGATATTTTTTTGAAGTTCATATAAATACTAGAGGAAAATAGCAAAAAACAGCAATATTATTGAAGAAATAGCGATTTGTTATTTACTGTTTTTAACCGTTTAGAACAAAGTTTTGGAGTTATTTTATGAAATTAAATGGAACAATTTGTTCTTTTCTATGAAATAACATTGGAAAAATTGCCAAAATATAATTTTTTTGCTTTTCATTCCAAGCATACAACAATAACTTGATGAGTGTTACTTGTAAGTGAACTGTCAACTGCACATAGGAAATATTAGCAAAAAATAGTACTTTTATTGAGGGAAACTAGCAAAAATAGCATATATTGGGAAACAATAGAATAAATTAGTGAAACTAGCGTTGGAGTCTCTCCCCTTGTTAATACGACACTTTTAGAAACAGTTGGCATTATTCCAGCATTTATTCAAACAACAATATTGTAGTATGACATGTTTTAGTATACAAACACATTGAATATGTACATGAAAAAATTTCCACAATTTTAATGGCAACCCAAAAACGAAGAAGAAGTAAAAAAAAGAATAACGCTCAATTTTTTTGTTCCGTTTTTCGTTTTCGACACATTGTAAACAGAATGATAAGAGCTGTTTTCGTCAATTTGTCGCTGGATTTGTGGAGATATGGACCGAACAATTGAATTTAGACTTCGAACAGCCGCCGCTGTGGAATGAGATAAAAAATGATCTTGGGCCACATCTCAAGCGATTGCCCGATGAACTGTTGCCGGCAATCGGGAAATTTCTTATTGTTGCCAAAGATTCGTATCAAAATGAAATGCCACTCAACGATGATGAGCTGACTGAAACAACATTATTACTGAAATGTCTTACTATGATATGCCGTCACTTTGACAATATACAAACCGTAGCCAACTACCAATACATCAGCTGTGCTGTTACAATATCGATGAGCATCATTATGGTGGTAAGTGAAATGGGCTCGCTTTTTTGTTTTGTTTTAAATAATCAGTATTTTTCATTGATTGTACGGTTTTTTGTTCTGTTTTCGATTGCAGTTGTTTAAGGACAAGCGAAAACCCAGTTCAGCGGAAGTCGAGTACATCAAATCGTTTAGCCATCTAATTGAAGTCATTTATGACCCATATTTAACATGGCGCAACTTTTTACATGGACACTTTGCCGATTATAGACGCATTCTAACCACCATCGTACAATTGCACGTCGAATTGGTGCCATTCATTTATGGTCTGTGCGCTGAAATATAATACACTTTGCGGGGCGCGCGCACATTTCGAAATGCTCTAAACCTGTTTCGGTTTTGTTATTTCAGATTGCTTTCAATTTGAGACGATCATCCATCTACCAGAAATTGGAGTACCCTTAGTTCATATGTTAGGCGCAATAATATCCGGCTCACAGGTATTTGCTATGCGTTTCTATGGCTTCATCACTGAGACACACAATCTCGTTGTTACTTTTGATTGATTTTTCTTTTGGTTTTATTTAGACTTCTGGTGTTGGGCTGTAGATTTTTTGTATACATTATTTCTATCTTAGATTTCTTTACATGTTTTTATTTCTGTAGTTAGTCATATAATTGGTGAAAGGAACACGGCATTCTTAATAGATAACTTTGTGATTAAACACAGAGACAAATGCTCCACATTCAATTTTTTTTGTTGGAAAAAGACAAAAAAATCGTCTTTTAAGAATTCTTCCGTCTCATCATTTTATGTAGTTGTCAGATTATCCTGACAGTTCTTGTAGTTCCTTTTTTCGTTACTTTTCTCCTTTGAAAATTCTCAATCTTTTTATTCTTTTCAAAAGCCCAAGGTGTTTTAATTCATTTTCATAGTTTCTGTAGTGGTTTTGGTATTAAATCTTCTGGTAGAACTGTTTGTCTTTTCTAACTTCTCACGGCGAGATTCTAAAATGTGACGTCTTTTAATTTGAAGATATCCGTTCAATTTGCTTAAATGCGTTCATTTGAAAATTGGTGAGCTACAAATAAATTTCTTTCATTTTTCTTCATTCTGTTTATTTTATCTGGTGATGGAATTTCTCGAACTGGGTCATTACACACATACTTATCGCAAATCAAATATTCAACCGAACACACAATCAAATCAAATTCAATAAACCAAAACAAAACAAAACAAAACCAAACCAGGGCGATCCATGCACTAACGATTCACAAGCTACTACATCATTGACCACAACTATTACTCCTAGCATCCGTTCAGCAACATCATCCATTTCTGCAAATGTTTCTACTTCTAGTAATGTTGCATCTAATCAAATTGGTGAAAGCAAACAGCAAACACTTGCCGCTGTATGTATCATTGAGCTTATTTTTGTTGAACATAAACTTAATTACTTTTATATTTTTTCGGAAACAAAATAATAAACTTTTGCAATTCAATTACGACCTAACCATATTTGTATACAAAAGCCCTTTTGCATGTTTAGTTTGCTTCAAAATAGATTTTAATATGATTTTCGGCGTTGTCATGCGCCCATCCCTTTTAGTCGAATGGAATGCGAGCCGTATGTCCGGCAACTGTGACGGTTCTCATAAATATTTTATCAAAATGGGAATGCAACGCAGAGCTTCGGGTCATTGTATTGAAGTGTTTTGCCAAAATGGTCATCGTTTTGCATCGTTCGAATCCAGTTGAACGTCAAATTGACGTGCTGATGGTGTTTCAAATGTATTTGGATATGATGTTAACATTGCTGAAAACTCGACACTTTGAACGGCGTCCGTTTGATGAGAAATTTGATGTGGCTACCGAGAGTGAGGATTACATCGATGTAAATGCACTGACTGCCGTCGTTGACAATATGGAGAATATTTTATCCGAAACACAAAGTCGTCTTCCGATTAGTACGGTCATTGTGGAAGCAAATTATATCACAACTCTGGTTGGCATACCGAAACGTGTTCAAAAATGGGAATTTGATCGCCAGAAACTAGCGACAAGTGTTTTTAAGGCATTGGCCATGCTACGTCGTACCGCACCCGTTGCTACAAATGTTCTATCCACTGTACCACAAATTGCAACACTTTTTGACGGCATCAAATCGCTGGGCAAACCAACGAAAACTCTCATTGAACAGTGCATCGAGCTGGCCTATGATTCAGAGAAGAAGGAAATTGTTTTTGGCGAAATCATCACGCATTTAGCCAGTTGGATGAAGGATATGCATGAAAGTGAACAGCTTTATGTCGCTGAAACGATGCTCAAAATTTGCTCACAAAATATTAGCTGGTTAGTCGAAAATCACAATTTTTTTCAATTATTGCGACTAAATTTGCTTTTTCTTTGCTCCGAATTTCAGCAAGCGAACTGTGTCAAATCGTGAATTCATCGAAACCATCTGCGACGTTCTGAGACATTCCAATGTATTGAGCAGCAAATGTGCCATTGATTTGATTAAATTGATTGAAGAATTGGCCAGATACAGCATTAGCCCTATCGAATTGAAGAGCCTGTTCTGTTTGTTACGGGAAAAGGAAAACTTTGACTATCGAAAGCAATTACTTCAGGTTGGTCACATATTTTTGTTTGAATCAACGTAGCAAATTTTTCTAACAATTCGACTTTCCATATTATTTTCAGTCATTGGCAAGCATATCACTTCAGAACATTCCCAGCAATCAGAACATTTGCAGCGAATTTCTTGACATACAGTCACGTGATGATGGTATCACCGTGCCAGAGATTCACAAGTGGACAACATCAGGTGCATTTGGTTTCATATTTCATGCATGGATCCGTCTGGATGAAGTTGTCGAATGGGAATCAGACCCATACATTGATAGCACGAGATATCGTCGTGTGATTTTTAGGTAAATCGTTCAAAAATTATATTTTCTTTCAATATTTAAATGTTTTCATTTTTTCACATCAATGTAAATAAATCATATTTTGGACATTTTCACAGTTTTTAGTTCGAAATCAACTAAATATAAACTTTTCTATTTTACATGATTGCAGTCTAATGTCAGCGCAAGGAACTGGTTACGAAATTTTTATCGACAATAATGGAAAGCTCATAGTTGGCATCCAAACGAAAAAGGAATATTTCGCAACTTCAGTCTCTTCGCCGTCACTCTTTGATAAGAAGTAAGCACCGTTTTCATACCTGTTTATTCTCGATCATATCAAATGTGTATTGGCAGTTCAACCATTTCAATTCGTATTCTTGGACAGATTTTAGTTTTCCATGGATCATTTCACATGATAATATATTCAAATAGAATTAATCTCTTAGAAAATCAATTAAAACGCTTTTTTTATTATTGCAAAAGGTGGCATTTAATAACGATCGGCATCCTACCGCCGAAGCGACCATTTGCATACACGCAAATTCTGAGCTACATCGATGGACATCAAAAATTAGGAGCAACAATAAAATTTGGCGCTTTCACAGATCCATTTGCCCACTGCACCATTGGAATGGCCTACCAAAAAATTCGTCGATCATCCAACAATAGGAATGAAAAAGAGAAGCAGCTGCAGACATCGTCTTCAGTTGATAGTGCCAGTGGTACACCACGTGGAATGTTTCCCAGTCTCATGGAACGAGCATTTTTACCGCAAATTGTTTCACAGGTTTGAAATTCGCGATTCTCCCCAATCCATTTCATTTTTATTGAAGTCGTTTCTATTTTCACTTTCAAGGTTCCAAGTTACTTTTCCTTACCATTACGAAGCACATCGTCGAATGATCCAAATGTGAAATGCTATCCGATGGGAATGCAGGATGGTATATTCGGTCCACAGGCATGTTTGCGTGGCCAAATCGGTTCAGTTCTGCTGGCCGAACCAACAACGAATATCAAAAGTATACTCGATGCTGGTGTAGAATTTGCATCGATCATTTCTCAAGACATCGAACCATACGACATAAGCTCAAAATATGTATTCTGCTATTCACCGTCAGCATGCTACAATGGAACGTGTACTGATCTAGTGCCGGGTAGTAAGTTCAATGGACTCTTCATCGGCAATCATTGCAAAACGATAAAAATCCAAGATGCAATCAATAGCATTGGTGGAATCACCACATTGTTACCGATTCTCGAAACGGTTGTCAAATCAAATCAATTGAATCTTGTGTTTGATACATCACTTGACTCGATACAACCTGAAACACCGTGCTCACTCAACGATGAAATGATTGACTGGGAAATTCTTTCGTCAAACACATACACCGAATACAAAATGATCCAGAATCCAATAGGCTGTTTTTTATGTTTGATTCGGTACTTTACAAGCAATCACCATTTGAATCAGGAACAACTCATGCGATTCGATTGTATAGAAATTATTTCAACGCTGATGACAAAATGCGACCCCGAATTGATTGACGTCAATGTGCTGATGGCATCACATTTGCTCGTTGAGGCAGTTCAAAATGAACAACCCACTGCAAATAAGGAGCTGCTCGAATTAATTTACAATGAATTCATCTTTGATTTTAAAATCTGGTCACGGGCACCATTCCAAGTTACCATCGGACATATTCAGTATATCAATACAATGATCAAAGATGACCGCAAATATTTCAAGTAAGTGAAGATGAAAAGGATGGAAGAAAATATGGGAAAAATTAAACATTTTGGTTTATTTCTAGGAAAAAGTTCGGTATTCAATACTTTTTGGATGTTATTCGCCAGCATTATGCAGTGCCCGATCGGCTTGGTGAAGAAGATGCACAAGCCGTTCGTGTGGCTTTACTCGAAATCATCAAATACTACATTCACAAAGATTTGAACATCAAAGAAGTGTGCATCATCATCTCGTACATTTCGTCGGTGAATCATGAATACTTGATTGTAGAGCTGCTGGATCTGATTTGGACGCAGATGAATAGCAAACATTGTTTGGATCAAGTATTCCTTTTGATGCACGAACCAAATACGGCCGAACTTTGCTATGCTTTACTCACCGATCGCAAGTATAGCAGTCGATTGCATTTGACGGTTTTGAAAGTCAGTCTCGAATATTTTGAAGATTCGATCTCCTATTTTTAAAAATTAATTCTCTTCATTCAATTTCAGTTCCTCAACTGTCTCCTGAGTACGAAACGCGTGTCAAAGAAGCATAAATGGGCAGTTCGATTGCATGATCCCGGCATCAGTTGTCAAACTTTAATACCCGGTTTGATTTCACACATGCTTCCGCTTGATCACAATACCGACATAATTCTCATGCTGCTTGATATGGCGTTGGCCGATGATTCTGGCGTTGGATACTGTGGTGCATTGCATTTAATTTACCATTTGAGTGAATCTGACATTGATCTCAAGTTGGAAATTGCCAAGAAAATCGTAACGGTTGCATTCAATAAACTGAATTCCCCCTGTCACATTGCAAAGCAGACTGGATGGCAGGACAGTATCGCTCGTTTGCTTGTCCGTAAGCATATCTCATCGAATTTCACGGTCGAAGGCAACTATGTGATAGGAAAAGATGTTCAAGACCATACATTTGATGAGTCTGGCGTTGAGTTTGCCATGGATATGTTGACGTTTGACGAGAAATCGATGGAGCTGGGCAGTCAAAGCTCGATGAACAACTCAAACTTGCTGCTGAATGAAATTCAGGCGAATTTCACTGAAGCGGCCAATGTCATCGAACACGAAATTAAAGGTAAGAAAAACATTTGCAATATGAATTCACCTAACTCTTGTAGCAATGCATGGGAAATTCAGATTTACCTAAATTCGATTCTAATCATGATTTCATTGTAGATTTGGCCGAAACAGTTACCGGTAAAGTGGCTGGTAATATATCGTCAATGTACTCCATGATACGTCAGAAGACATCGGACATACAAGAAACATTTGAATCGTTGACGCACGGCTCGAATTTGAGTGACAAGCCAAAGAGCTTGGGTACGATGTCAACACTGTCATCGAACTCGACATCGGATGAAAATCTTTCGTTGAAATCAGCAAAAACGACATCCTTGGAGAATAAGTCAATGACACGCTTTGATTCCACCGAATCGGATTCGCTGTGCGATAATTCCAGCCAAACGAAAAACGAGAAGAATGCACCCGAAAGTATTCTCAGCGATGAAAATTACGACAAAGAAGAACAGTTGATTTACTTGGTTACGAATATTCTGTACACAGTTTTGTGGAACGGAATCGAAAACAATGGCGGCGATTCATGGAAGGAACGAGGTCAAGTGATTGCATGCATTAATTTGCTTGGATTGAATAACGAACTATATTGTTCACATTTGACGCTAAGATTGCGCATTTTTGAGCTGGGCGTTCAGGCGTCACTCATGGATTTGTCGGATTTGAATAATACACAAAATCACGTGCATCAGGAGAATGCAGCTCAATTGCTTCGAATGATCTATGACTTGGTTGTACTCGATCCAAACGAGGATGAACAAAAGAAATGCTCACCGAAATTACTTGATGGTGTTTTAGCTTTAATGGGTGAGTTACAAGTTTGCTATAGCAAAAAAATCGAATTTGGTTAAAATAAACTAGCAATCGCGACGTAGTTTCTTGATTTGAAATTTGATGGAGGAACCGATTTTGATTTTAACGATAATTTTGAATTTATTGAATCTTCGAAAATAATCGATTTTATTCTGATTCTCAATTGCAGACGCTCTGATGATCTTCCAGCAATCAGCTGTGGATGAATGGGTGGAAATGTCACGAATTTGCTTGGGATTATTGATGAAATGTTCACGCCATCCAAATCCTGAAATTGTTGCCATGGCAACGGCCAAATTGCACACCGTTCTACAAGTCCGAGCCACTGAAGATTTACATGAGCTTGGCTATCTTTTGTTCAGCATAAACAAAGCATTGAATACAGCCATTGAAGGTATGCTAAAAAAAATGAACAACTCAGCTCTGTTTTCCTACTAAATTTGTATCTCATTTAATTCTATTCCATTTTCCAAACAATTTTCCCATTCCAAAACATTCTTTTCTTCATTTCCAGTGGGTGATTCCGAGGGATATTCATTTTTGATGCCTGTTTTAAAGGCTTTACTCGAAAAATCTCGTTCGATTCTAAATTTATCCATGAAAGTACCTGATTTACCACCAACTACATCAGGGCCGGTTTTCTTCGAAGGTTTCCAGATGTACTCCACCAGCAAGCAATGGATAACATTCATAGATAAAACGGTAAGCGTGTTTTTTTGTGTCTCGATTTTTATTTTATTTTTTTTTTATTAAAAATAAATTAAGCTAAAATTACAAATATTCGCAAGTTTTTAAAGCTAATCTAAAAGTAAAGAAGATGCAATTAATTTACATGTTCAAATGCACAATTTTCAACCAAATGTGTGTTCATCGGTTCATTCACTCAGTGTTCTTGTCATACCATTTTGTGATTTTTCGGCAATTCTCCTTTGCCGTCCCAAACGTACAGTGTCGACGCTTGTGTTGTAGATGCCGTCACTGGTCGCGGTGTAGTGGATATTCGATTTCCATTGGAATATTTATTATCGCCGGACGATGGAATGTCACGCACATAAGTCGGTCGAATATTTGATGGGCTTGCGGCGTAAATATCGGTTCGATCATCTTTGCGAATGGGACGGAAGCCATTGCTACCGTACACTTCATAGCTGCTGCCTACTGGAAAATTATCGTTTCTCGCTCGAATTCCGTATTGTTTGTAGATGCTTGCCGATTTGTCCCAATACCTTGGCTCCACCGGATCTTGATCACGATCCGTATTCGTTCCAGTATCCTGTGATTTTGTCTTTTCTTGCTCCTGGCTAGTGATGTGCGACACCCGATCGTTGTCATAGTCCTCATCCCCATAATCATCTTCGTCTTCGTTGTTTTCGTAATCATTTTGCTGATGTCGAGTGCGAGATTTATTCTTTTTCTTCGCATAATAAGCCGAATTGTGATCGTAGGCATCGCGCAAATCTTCCGTATCTAAAACGTGGGATGTGGTTTGTTTGCTTTTCTTCTTCGGTCGCCGGGTCGTTTGCACTACTTTCACCAAATCGTCGAGATAATCTTCATCCGGAATGCGTAGCGTTACCTCGATCGGCTGCTTTGGTCTTTTCGTTGTTCGTGCCGTTTTTTCGTCTCGTTCGTAGTAGAAATTGGACGATTGTTTCGGTTGTTTTCGTTTATTTTTCACCGTATGGAATTCCTCTTGATCGTATGTATTGGGCAGCGATGGTTGTGGCATTGTTTTGAAATACGAATACGATTCGCCCGTATAATCATTTTGTTCGCGTTCATCTTCAACAATTTCTTCGTCTGTATTTAACGGCGGCGGTATCGTTGGGACACGTTTCGAATTCACTTTGGCCGGTTTTCTTTTATTGCTAGGTCGTGTATTTTTTGGCGTTGCATCGTAAGAAGATTGCACACTATTGTAATTAACATCGATATTCGATAATTGCACTTGATTTATAGGTGGCGGTTCGGCAAATGGGCCCGGAACTCGTGGCGTTGGGTTGGTGATTGAAATTTGCGCAGGATTAATGTTGTAATTGTTGCCATTCGATGGTGGATATCCGTTGAACTGGTTCGAATAGGCATTTTGATAAGTGTATGAATTCAGAGGTGGTGCGATTGGAACGCCATAGCTTGTGGCTGGCGGTTGAATGGGTATTGGTTTGTAATTCGTTGCAATGGGATTGTATACAGGAGGCACTGGTGGTTGATTGTACACCGTCCCGGGCGATAAATTCAAGTTAAAAGTAGCCGACCCTAGTGGTTTCGTTAGAACATCGATGGATGTATCGCTGAAGCGTATCGGTGGACTGTGTGTCGTCGTTGTTGTGGTGGTAATTTTCGGTTTTGGTTTCGGTTTAGATTTTGGTGCCGTTTGATAGATTGTATGCTGTGGCAGATAGACATTATTGTATTTGGCCAATGTTGCTGGATCTGTGGTTATTTCTTCAATTTCCGGTGCGGATGTTCCATATCCACTTGAATCACTTGAATATCGATAGTCATTGTCATCGTAGTTGTTGTACTTGGACCGTGTTTTTGTTTGCTTGATTGGTGCACGTGACGGCAATGCGTTGTAGCCCGATTTGGGTTTTAATGTCGAGAATTTGTATTCATCCAAGTCGCTATAATCAGAATAGGCAACACCTGATCCAGCTCCAAGATTCGATCCAATCGATCCGCCACCCGCACCTGTGCTCACACCCACACCACTCGAATAATATCCGGATTGTTCATAGCTTTTCAACGGAGCCACATTATACGTTGCGGACTGTGTATCGTAAAATTGGCCAATATCAGTATCAATCACACCCATGTAATCCTTCCCAGTATCGACCGATGGTGACTTCTTTTTCGATTTTGGAGCGGCGTAACCACTTTGATCGGCGAAATCCATTTCAAAGCGATAATCTTCGTAGGGTGAATTATAACCGTATCCAGCAGGTGCGGCATAGTAAGGTTTTGGATTGGGTCGTCGACGAGTTCGTGTATTATAATATAAATTATTGCTTGGATAGTAGTATGGACGGCGATAATAGCCTCGCCTGTAGTAAGGATCACCTCGGAGTGCTTCGGCTACTGGTGCATCTTTTGAGTCGGACACTACGGTGTCGGTTGGTTTCGATGGCGGTGATCGTGGTGGCGTCGATAATGGTGATGATAACGGTTTCACCGGTGATCGAAGCGGTTGCTGTTGTTGCTGCTGCTGATGATGATGTAGTGGCACTTGCTGCTTGGTTAACGATGATACCCTTGATTTCAATGTGGCTGAAATCGTAGTTAACGGACGAACGGTGGTGGTTGTTGTTGTGATAGCTGTTATCTTTTGCGCCGTCGATTTCAAACCAATATTTGGATTGAATATCGGTCTAAATGACTCAGCATTTATTATTTGCAGCAATCCGGTTAATGCGATCTAAAAAAAATACGAGCAACGATATGAGAGCAAGAAAAAGTGGAATAAATTAGAAAATAAAGGCAACGATACAGAATAAAATGGTTGTGGTGTGTATGTGGAATAGCGAAAAAATGGTGTTTAAACGAATGCACAAGCGGCTCAGTCAATTAATATAATTCACTTTGCGATCGAATGCAATCGCATCGCTTTTTCTAATCATCTCAGTTCAAACTCTTCGACCAAAACCGGTTCGCTGCTTCGAATCAGAGTTAATTCTCTAGCCCGTGTGTGTGTGTGCATTTTCGCTCAATTGTGAAATGTGTGTACGGAAACGATTTGGCCAAAAGGTGGATTTTGGACTACACGATATTTTCGCTACACGGAATACGACTACATTTCGTTTGACACAAAAAGGTCGACATGTCTCTTAAAAAGTGGGAGGGAGACATATCTGCGAGAACATGAGATGAAAATGGCGCATTTCATTAAACAAAACAGAAAGTTTCCATTTGATAACCCGTTATATAGTGCGACGAGTCAAGGCACGCTTTTCATACTTCTATCGCTATTCAAATGCATGCGAGTTAAGAAAAAATCAATCGATGCACTCGATGTTCGCGCGCGCACATTCACAATGCACGTCAATAGCTACTAAGCCTTGTGTTGTACATTTCATACCGAACCGGTAATCACAACATTTTTCATGTGGATAATTACCATCGTAGCACTTTATTAACTGGGGAATCGAATGAATAAATATCCAAGCACAAACAAGTAGAAAGTCGCGGCTGACAAAAGTTTAGCAATAAATTGCAACGTTATGTTGCAGTAGGAAACTTCTTGAAGGTGATTTTGGTTGATAGGACGAGTGCTTATTCTTAGGTACAAAATAACGTCGAACGGTGTAAATGCACATTTTTATGCTCGCTATTAGAGTGTCATGACCTATGTTTTGCCGTTTATTGTCTTTGGTTTCATTTCACGCAAAATAATCGTATGGAAATTTCACTTGGGTGTGAGAAAAATGTGATGTGCCGCCCAAAAAAATGTGAATGAAAAAGAGAAAAAGAAACTCGTCCACAATAAAAACTAAATTCAACGTAAATGAGCTCGACAAAGGGTCATTTTAAACTTTGCATATTATACGCTGCATATATCATGGTAATAGCCGTTTTCACACTACCACTTTCATTCAAACTAACATTTAAATCATTGTCTTTCGCACATCACAACTGGATGGGTTTTTTTTTTATTTTCGTGAATTTTTGGCGACCACTTACAATGAGCAAACAACTGAAGCTACATCGCACGCTTAGCAAAAACATATTTTTGTCTTTTATTTATGTGTTCGATGGTTGGTTCAACTTTTACTTTTCTTTCATTTAGATATATAAAATTTTGCACTAATGGCGATTTTTTGGCTTCTTTTTTTTCGTGTATCCAACGTCTACTTTATCATTTCACCCGACTAATGTATCTGCGGATCAAAATAAATCTAAAGTGATCTTCTTCGAAAATCGTTGTTCTTAAATCAATTCAAGATTTTTATTTTTTTTTATTTCACATCGTTCAGTTCTTTATTATATTCTTTTTCAGCACTTTTTTCACAGTTGTAAAGCAATAATTTGTGTTTATGGTTGTTTTGTTGGATTTTATTTTCGTTTGTTATTCTTTAATGACAAAAAGGTGTTGCTGAAGCCCGTTCGAAGAGACCGTCGTTTCTGCAAAGTCAGTTTGTTTTGTGTTTGTGTATATTTTCAAGTGAGAAAACCGAATGCGAACCGACCATAAAACACGATGTCAACGTGGTAAAACATAACGAATAACTGAATCATTTCCATAAAGTGGCTCTTCTTTTATCAACTTAGGAGAAAATTGCTGCGCTCTCGGCACACATACAAACACAATTATTAAATATACGTACGATGAACTGTAGAGCTGATCTCTTTGTTTGATCTGGCATCAGTATGCTCGACTCGCTTCGCTTCCACTGATTTTATGATCATCCATAGTCATCAAGTTACCGCGCTTAAGCGCATGTATAGGTCCATTGAGTCCAAAGAGACTTTTACTTGATGGTAGAGAAAAAAAAACCAGCAAACACATACACAAAACAGACGAAATGAAATCCAAAATGAAAATCGCAAATGCTTAAGCCCACAACTTGCAAGAGTTGCAGCAGAAAGAAAAAAACAATAAAATAAAACAAAAACAAAAACAAAAACAGAAACTGACTGAGGAGTCAAAAATAGACATACAAAGAAAGAAAGAAAGAAAGAAAAATGAATATGAATTGGCGGCTAATCTCATGACACACACACAAACACGAATTTACAACGGATACAGTTAACAACAATTACATTCATTTCGTTTCGTTTCAAGCAAAAAAACGAAACCTAAGAACTGAAACAGGAAAAATCTTTTTGCTTTTTTTTTTTTTGCTTTGTTTGCCTACGCGCACGCACGAGCACGTGATGGATATGATTTCGAAATGAAGAAGCAGGCCAAGCGAATAGATGTAAAGCAGACGATTTTGAAATTGAAAAATGATATCAACGCGGATATATACAGCACGTGTGCTCAAGTGCTAGTTTTTTTTTCTCTTCATCTGTCTGCAGAATGTTTGCCATTTTTTACCCAGAATTTGACGCTCGACGAAATTGAAATCCAAAACGGTCTTACTTTTACTTTTATGAAAAATTGGGTCGATTTTTTCGTCTCTGCTCGAAACAAAATCGATGTGTAACCGATAGCTTTTCGGAGAAGAAAAGCTATGCACGATTCCGGTTAGGTTTGCATCAGATTCTTGAGTACCTTATTAAGGAAATAGTATGTGTTAAAATATTTGGCCTTGCATAAATTGCGCGCACAGTGTTTGCTGATAAATTGTTGGCAATTCATTTGAGCGTTAATTAATGGGTTTTTCCATAAAATTGATTGACCACATTTGGCCATCGAAGCATTACATAATTTTCGAGCTAAAATTACACATTTAACAATTTAACCAATTAGGAGAAAAGACACAGTCTTCGAGAAAAACATCAGTAGCCATTTTTGGAAGTTCGGTTGAAACAGGAGCCACTGCACAATATAAATCACATATCACCAATTAATCGCAGAATGCAACTGCACGCTGTCTAATTAAGACTTAATGGCACCGATATCATGTTAGCTCATTTAAACCTAATCTTTTACTTACACATCCAATAACAACAACAATAAAAAAATGGTTTTGCACATTGATTGCCGATTTGCTATTTCTACGCAATCCGATTAGTACATGTATATCGATGGACCATATGTGCACTTTCTCTATCATCAAATCCACGAACAAATTATTATAATTTCTTTTCAAATCTAATTCAATGAAAATCGGCAGCCATTTGTTTGATGTATTCAAATGAGCCGCTGTAATTTTGATGTGTGAAATTGCTAATATCGATAGAATGGGCAAAACGCATCAGATGTAATCACGTCATATCGAAATAACCATTCAGCTTATCCGTCTAACATGTATTGAACTCGGTTCAAGTGATGGAAACGAGTGTTTCGTTGCGATGGATACGATTCCGCTAATTTTCGGCTTAACTTCTCATTTCGGTAGCACGTTTGCATGTCAATGCTCTGGAAAATGGATGAAATTTGCCTTGAAACGGAAAAAAGTGAGAAGAGAATTGTCGAATCGATAACAAACAAACGTGATATAAGATTTTCAGATGAATGAAAGCATGATTTTATAATTTCACAAATGTATTGTTTTTATGCTGATGTTTTGCTTCTACGAGCGATAAACTGTTCTCTTCTTCCGAATTTGCCATTTCAAACATCGCGTTTTATGACAATTATGCAATGGAATTTCCAAATTTAATGTTTCGGCTCAATTCATTGAGCTTTAACGTAGCTGAAAAATGCTCAAAAAAGACTTTTTCCACCACTTTTTATTGCATTTTTATGTCTCATCCGATAAATGAACCCATTCTCAATTGTCCTCCCTGTGGAAATGGTCGGGGAAAAAGAAATATAGAAATGATGATAGTTATTTATGGCTGATAAATCTCAAAATGTGCAAACATTCTGCTTATATAAATCGTTCAATCGTCGTTTATCATTTTGTCTCACTTGTGGCCTTTGTTTGAACATGGTATCACTGAAAATGAGATGCCATTGGATAAAGCGACGCATGGAATATGTTGTATGCTAAAAGTGACTTCGATGCAAATAGAGAAGTTGATGTATGTATGAGTCGAAGCGAAATAAATCTGGTAAATGATCACGTCCGCAATATGAAAATTTAGGTTTGCCAACTTCTGTTCAAAACGGAAAACCAGTTGTTTGTGTGCTGTTGTTGTTGGTGTTGTTTTTTTTTCGTCTTGATTCCGTTGTAATCAAGAGCTCCACTCTCCGCTACGGTTTCGTTGTAATGTGTATGCTCGGCGACGATACGTACGTTTCTTCCTCTCTCAACATGACGGCTGTTGACGATTGAAAATGATATTGAACTTGAAATAAAGAAGAAAAAAACTTGATTCCATCGGTTCTCGGTGTATGTTTCAGCATTCAATCGAATGACCGACATTTTGCGTTAATTGCGCGCATCTGTGCTCATCTCATACTCGTTTCAATGTGCGAGCGCTATATACACACACATCTTAGCATCATCCAGATTGGAATTGGCGTCAATCTGACTTGTTTTTCTTCATCTTTCTCTCTCTCTCTCTCTCTCTCTCTCTCTCTCTCTCTCTCTCACCCTGAGTTGTTCTTGCACAAAATGCATTTCTACATAAATAGCAACTTGAAAAACTTTCTAATCACATGTTGGTGTCTAAAATAATGTCAGTAGTTGATATCAAAAACGAGTGCAATATATATTTCTCTCCGACTGATTGAAATCACAATTTTCATGCTATCGTTTTTCTTTTCCTTTGCTCCACAGATAAAACCATTGAATGATGCTTACTTGAACGAAGTTTCGTCCATGATATGGGAGCAATTGAATCGTTTCTGGGCGGAATCGTACGAAGCATGCAAAGCTTCATCACAGCTACGTACTAAATATTTAATGGAAAGTCGACGTAAATTCCAGGTTAGTTCTGCATTTTGATTAAATTGTTACAAGTTTCGCTTTTTTAGCGAAAACAAAAACTCGATTGAGGCTTGAGACAAAAAACGAGGATATACAAGGTGTGTTTCAAAAGTTCCCGGACTTTTGGTCCAGGGCATTTTCTGGTGGCGCCACCTACATATAATTACCGGCGTTGGAAAGGTACATCCTTACTGACATCCCATCCAAATTTCATGACATTTAGACCAGGGGGAGCGGAGTTATGACCCCTGAAGTGACCCTATGTTTGTGCCATCGGTCGAAAAATTGAATGTGTTGATAAAAAGTTGTGTTTTAACAATTACAGAACATGAACAGACGTACTCTAAAGTATGCAAATTCTTTTCAGCGTTAATTGTTGGTGTCTAAAGAACGCCTATGACACACTCAAGCCATTTCGAAATGTCAAAATAACTGTCAATATTGACAGCAAGAGAGAAAGTCCGAAAATCACGGGTTTTACAAAAAAATCAAAGAAACAAACCATACTGTCAACAGAATGTTGTCAACATTTTTTCCTTAAGTCTTGGAAATGTATCCACAAGTACTAGTAATAGCAAATCAGAAGAATATTTGCGATAATTTCCACGTTTTTCCCAGATTTTCGGGAGCTGATTCAATTTCATGATCTTGGACACCTCATCAATTGGCAATTTTGACCAAATTTGAGTAAAAATTCAATCGTTCCTTTGCGTTTTTCTTTTGTTCTGGAACCTTGTGACTGTAATCTGTCCTCCCAAGTGCATTAACCAGTAAAACTGCGTCGGTATCACATTGTTTTATTCAAAATTCTTGTGTCGACCGATGGCACAAACATAGGGTCACTTTGGGGGCCATAACTTCGCTCCTCCTGGTCCAAATGTCATGAAATTTGGATGAGATGTCAGTAAGGATGTACTTTTCCAACGCCGGTAATTATATGTAGGTGGCGCCACCAGAAAATGCCCTGGACCAAAAGTCCGGGAACTTTTGAAACACACCTTGTAAATTCTTTTTTTTCATTTTTTTCTAACAATTCTTAACTCCCAAATGGTTTTTTCTCCCGTTATCCAGCTGAAAATCATAAAGCAATGGCGTTTGCGACAAAATGATGAGGCCAGTAGGCTAAATGGCATCCAATCGGCACGGAAGATCCATGAAAAGCAAATCGAACGGAAATGGCGTGGCGCCAAGCGATTCTTGCACAGTAAGAAAGGAGCATTCTCCAATGAGTGAGTACACTTTTCACCAATTGTCTTTTTCCCTTGTTTGCTCATCTTTCACCTGCAGTTTTTCTTTCGATGAACTGCAGTGTACATTAATCAGTAGCTTTTTTATGACTTTGCAAATGCGAACAATTCTCTTTTCGAATTGCTGATTCGATTTGTTCGCATTGCACTAGTGATCTAAATTTTTGGTTGATTTCCAGCCAAAAATTCGCTACCTTAATACATACGAAAATCCTCAACCATAATGGTAACGCATTTTTGCGTCTTATTCGTTCGCGGGCAGTTGTCTTTGAGACAACTGCATTGCATTTGGTGCGGCTGATTGAATGACCCCATCAATGGGCGCCACGTAAATTATCCGATTGAAATTCGAATAGTGAATTTTCCGAAGTGAATGTGCTTCATAATCTCAAGGCTGCAAATTGCGCATTGCCAAAGATCTACACTTTTGATTCAATTTACAAATGTTCAATTTTTAAGCTCTCGAAGCTAATAAAATCGGTTGGTAACGGTTCACAGAAATATGCATTTTAATACACATATCTATTTCGAAATAGACGAAATAAATGACGAGCAAAGCTGTGAACTCCGAAAACCGGTTTGTATCGCGTTCGCGGTAAATTGTGCACGCATTGCAAATATGTGCGAAACGCAATTCTATTAGCAGAGATCAAGTTGTAAATTCAATGACTTCAACGAAATAGAAAAAAAATGATATAGATTCGTTCTGCTTGCACCACGTTCCTATGGTGCCCTGTTTATCGAATGTAAATTAGTCAAACTTATTTTCTTCTTTTTTTACCATCGAAGCAACAAATCTAATCGAGTGACTGGCAACAAAAAATTATGTAAATTTTGAAATTTAATTGAGTTTTTTTTCTTGGTAAAGACAAAAAAAAACCAAATGAAAAACATTTGCTACACTTTTCGTTTCAACATATATTCGTTTAATTGCATTTTTATTGATTAAAATGTATGTATTAAAAAAGAAGATAAAAAGAAATCCCAACGGGTTTTCTTCAGTATTAAAATAAAAAGGAATATCTCATGGTCTACAGTCTTAACAGATATAAATCATATTGAAGCTCACACACAATGTTCAACTAATCAAAGTTAATAATAAACAAAGAGAATTATACAGTGGACGTATTCATATTCAAAGGAAAATGATAGAAAAAAGATAGATTTTTTAAGAGAAGAGATAAAGGAAAAAAAGAGAAAATGTGTCCTCACTTGTATGATGATGAAATAAGAAGACCAATTTGTTTTTTATGGGTGTTTGTAAACACATTTCCTTTTTCGTGTCGTTTTTATTGTGATCAAATGAATTCCAAGGATTATTTATATTTACAATTCAAGATAGTTTCACAATTATTGTCGTGGTTTTCGATCGATTTTTAGTGTGTGTGGCTCTCGTTCGATCGTCTAACGCAGGCACACACACACACACTCACGCTGTGTTGGTGCTGAGATGGCAGTTGTTTTTTGTGTTGCTTGATGACGATAATGAAATTACATAGTTACATAATATACTCGTAAAAATATTAAGAGAATTTGATTTCGACCAAGCAAAAGTCGTGCTTTTTTTAGGAAGAAAGTGGAGATTGGTATTTTTTTGTGTTTAAAGCGATAGAGGTGACATGTGGTAAATGACATTTGATATCATATTTACATTTTTTTTGTGTTTCGTATTAATTTTTTTTCGTGATGTTGCGTAGTTGAATGATCGATTTAGTGGTAAGCAAATCCTGCGGCCACACCGTATGGACGAGCGACAGCTGGGTATGCACCGTGAGCATAGGCTGGTGCAGCAGCGTAGGCTGGTGCAGCAAAGGCTGGTGCAGCATATCCTGTACAAATGGGAAAATATTTGTTATTAGAGAAAACGGATTATTCCATTTTTCAAGATCAACACAACAAAAAAAAAACAAAGCAAACAAACAAATCGTTGGGGACAAACAAAAAAAAGTGCGAAGTTCGATCAATAAACGATTGGAATTATCGTTACGTACCGACTTTAGCGATAGCTGGAGCACCTAGAACGGGAGCTACACCTAGATTACAAAACGAATGGAGGGTGTTGAGTAAATTGTTATTTGGGATCTACGTATTTTCATTTTTTTGGTTTAGCTTGGATTTGATGCGATTCAGTGTTTGTGCAAGACTTAAATCAAACTTACGGACAAATTAATCGGTTTTAATTGGAATTAAATAAAACAATTTGAAACAGTGAATAATGAATAGAATATTGTTAAACGGAATTTCTTCGGTATATGAAGTTTCATCGGTATTCGTATCACTTACCAACTTTAGCGATGGCTGGAGCGGCAACAATGGCTTTAGTGGCTGCTGGTTCTTTGTGTACAACGGCGTTGAATCCTAAAATTAAGGGGATTATACATCTGAACAATATGAATGATTTGATGTGATTTTATTTGTAATGATTCGCACCTTGGACTGGATCAGCTGTGTATTCGACAATACGACGGGTGCCATCTGGTTCAACCTATCATTAGAAATAATGTTAGTTAAAATAGGAACAATGATCTATGGAGCGATATTTATACCAATGAGTATGATCCTTGAACGACATCTCCTGAGCGGCTTTCTTGTTGGCTCTTGGCATCTCCGGTCAAAGCATCCTATTGAAAAGATAGAATTTGAAATGAATACCAATTTAACCGTAAGCGTCATCTTCGAAATGGCTCACATGAATGTCATAGCTGTAGCTGTATTGTGGGTTTGGATCATAGTCATCACCTTGAACGACGGCCTTGGCAACGTATGGAGCTGCAACCTGCAGAACAAAATTGAATTAATTTTTCAATCACTTCACTTCTTCATTCAATTTTGTGTGAAAATTTTCAACGGATTTCTTTTTTCGACGGAAAGTTTCATTCAAATTCTGAACTGTTTCTTCCAATTTTTCATGACTCTCATTCTAACAATTTTTTGATGTTGAAAATGAATGCAAAAAAGAAATAAAATCAAATAAATCGATTGAACCTTGGCAACACCTGGATAGCCGAGACCTGGATATGCTCCATAGGCTGGTGCAGCAACAACACCGGCACCTGGGATAACTACTGCCTGACTGACGGCAATGATAGCAGCTAACAAGACCAACTAAATAACACAGAAATAACACAAAAGAAGAAGATACACTTTGAATTTGTGGCCGTTCAATCGTTCACTATAGTATACAATCAAATTGATTGAGCAAAGTAACAAATAGAACACTAAAAATCCGCTAAGAAATCGAAACATTTCGGAAATTTTTTTTGCATTTGCACAAAAATCAAACACTTTTCTTTCGCTCAATTTGCTTTTTTCTTCTGTTAGTTTTGATTATTTTCCTGAGAATATTCGTTTTCTCGTTTATTCGCTGAGTACACACAAACTAGCAGATTTTTATCCAACTATTTGAGGATCAATATAAAAATTGTATCCAATTGAAATTGGTTTTGTCACTCACTTTGAATGCCATGTCTGAATTGTTTGAACTAAAACCTTAGATTGATTTTAGTCGGTGCAAGAGCGCGTATTTATACCCAAAAATTGCATTGCAATTTCGGATCTCGAAGAGAAGTGCATTAGATGTGTACGGTGTTGATCATATGGGAGTGCTCGACATCTGCATATATGTGTATTACACGCTTAAAAAGTACAATCGCTTAGCCATAAGTATGGTTAAATGGTTTGGTACAGCAACGGCGACGACGACAACCATAGCGAGAAGAGGAGAAAAAAAATGCCGCGACAACGCCAATAGAGTTCATTGCGTATTCAATATCAACTACCCGCACCGATTAACACTTACACATGATATTTTTAAGGTAGATCGAGCACATGCGAACCAAGTTTTTCAACGATTTTTTTCTTCATATTTTCGTGCCTCTTTCTCTCTCTCCGCTCAATCAAACACACACACGGCTCATATTCGGATCAGTTTAGCGAGATTATTAAGCATTTTCCTTTATTCACTCTTTTCAACGAGACAGTTTATATCTTGTTTGGCACACATTAGGTGCAGCAACATGAAAATGCCGCGAACAATATTGTATAATGGGCTGACGAATTTGATTTTGACTTTAAGTAGAAAATTAACAGTTCATTCAAGGAAAGAGTGGAAAAAAGGCAGCAGCACCACAACGAAACATAAAGCGAAAAAATTTAATAATGTCGATAGTCAACGAGATTAAGGTATCATGCAGTCAGCGCATGGTGACATGTGTTGCACTTAATTTCATGTCGTTTCAAACGGCACATTTCTAAATTCCAACAAGTGCGATCGTGAACAGGTCACAATTGTGTTTTCGCCGTTACAATGTTGCAGCCTTTACCAATTTTTTTTTCTCTCAACATTTCATTGAATTGCGAATGTTGGCAGTTTGCTTTTTGTCTTCCTTTATCCTTGTCTTTGTTCATTCAGCTGCGAGCTGGCAATCACCCGTTTATCTAATTGAAATTGATAAATTAATTTATTTGAGCGGCTCATTTTGCAGTTCACGCATAATTACTTATCGCATACCATTAACGTACGACAATTTTGCATGTGGGCTGATTTTCTGGCTGACTGGCTGGTTGGTTTGGTTGCGATCGCGCACTGATTCGCTTTTTTTCTCTTCGTTCGAATTAGTTTTCGGTACAAGCGAACATGAGGCCGATATAAATCTTTTCATTTCGATTGACATTTCGGCCCCATTGCCAGAGCGAATGGACCGTTTTTGTGCGTGTGTGTTTGAGTGCGTATGGCATGGTGTGGTTGTTTTTGTTGTTGTTGTTGTTGTTTTTCCATCTCTCGACAGCCTTTCTGCCTGTCGGTTCATGTACATTTTGAAACATTTCTCGTTTCTAATTGATATTTTATAAAAATAAAACCAAAATTAATATTTTATGCTGTTAATAAATACGTCAATTAAATCTAACTAGTCGCATTCATAATAATCGCTATCACGTTAGTGCGTTGGATATCATTCCAAAAAAAAACCTAATCGAAACCATTTTTTTGCTCTTTCGGTGTCGTTGTCTATTCGTTCGCCATCTATTTTATTTACTTACACATAGATTTTATTATTATAATCTTTTTTGAAAGTATTTTTTTTTCTGTTTTCGCCTCTAACACTATATTATATGTTCCTTGCGAAATTCGAAATGATGTAATTGATGTTGAGTTCTAGCGGCACATTTTGACTGGGTGTTAAATGCGGAAAACGAATGTGCGACGACAGTCAAATTATTATTTGCAATGACATGTACGCAAAATGCACAGAATAACTGAGTCCGGCGCATTTTTCTTGGCCTTTTCAATTGAAGACGATAATAATAATAATAAAGACAATTGATTCGGTCTGAAGGTGCTAGTTAACAAAGTGTCGGAATGTCGGACACACGTATCAAAATGAACTGAACATTTCCATTTCGTTGATGATGGATATTTTACATTAATCTACATTTTTGAAATGAGATTTGTCACATGAAATGCTATTGATCCGCTCATGCATACACGCCACAGCAGTGTCGGCTTAAAATCGGCTACATGTACCAAGCGGTTTTGATTATAATTCAAACGCCGAATAAATCACACTTACGACAAACATTAACATTAACAACCGTTCACGATCTCGGGTCTACGGAATGGCCATTAGACAAAACGCACAAAGCATAATTTCAAGAAAATCTGGGTTATTGATTGGCTTATTGAAAAATTAAACTCAACGTTCGCATTAAATACGTATGCTGCTGCTGCGTGTTGCACTTTTTTTTTTCTCTTCAGCACTCTTTTGCGGATTTTTTGAGCCATGTTACCGACGCATTTGTTGGTGGCACTTAAATTAAATCATTTCAATCTTGGCTGAAGCCAACTTTTTTCTCTCTCTCTCTCTCTCTCAATTTTTTTTCGCGTGTTGATTTGCAAAATGTGAAACATACAAAACTGGAGCACGTTCGACATGTATTTTTATTTTTATTAACAGAGTCAGCTAGTTTTTAATTTGGTTCAATATATATATCGATGCGGGTTTTTTTGCTCGTTGTCGTCTTTTGCTTCTGATTTTTAAATCGCAGCCCATTACAAGTCACTTGTGCGAATGGCCATATGAACCGAACAAGTCTATCGATTTCGTCGACGATAACGCCAAAAACTGCTAACGATAGTTTGGCCTTTGCGGGCCTTTGTGTTCTTTTTCTTCTATCTATCTCCCTCCCTTTCGCCGAATTTGATCGAATTGCAACGATAACTACGACAAAATATGCCACATTCGTTGTCATTAATTTCATTTTTCAATGGTTTGAAACCAACAACGAAAAGTTGTCTCTAAAAAAAACTCTGAAGATTGCCGATCAAAAACAAACGAAGCATTTAGCAAAATGAGCTGTAATCGGTTCGCAAGTTCATTTTCATCTGACGCAAAACCCATTGAATGTCTTGTTTCGATGCAGTTGGCTTTTTTTTGCCTTCTTATTTTATTCCATGAAAAATGCCGTTAAAAATTTTACATTTATTATAATGGAAACGCAAACGCCATTTATCATGTCACGATATACTAATCATATGTTCTTTTCATTAGAATGCAATGCAAATGCAGCCACTTTAACTACCTCTCTCGTCGTAACGTTTGGTCGTTGGCGCGCGAGCGCACTCAATGAATTATATATGCCGAAAAATTGCGTAAAATACGAAATAAAAAGTGTGAGTTGTTTGGGCTGAAGCCAAATTGAAATTGAGTCGCTTGAGGAATGGTCAAGAGGTATACATACAAATTATAGGCTTTCGCAGAAATAGCGGCAAAAGAACAAATAGAAACAGAAAAACACAGAGCGATCGTGCACCACGCCCGACACATTTCAATTGGATTGAGGTACGCAAAATCAGCAAAGGTCTTGAGACACTTTGATCGATTTTGGAATTTATTGAAATTTTGAATCGAGTCAGTGGAAATGCGAATGAAAAAGGGCAAAGAGCATGTCAAATATTGCCCGAGATAGAAGGTGCAATGGCAATTGTCAACTCGATCGCCGCCAATAATTTATTGAGCCAAGCGAATCGTTATTCATTTTAATCACAACATAATACGCATAGAGACAAATATCTCGTTGACGAATAACCAAAAGTTTTCGACGAGAAAAGCAAGCTCTTAGCGGCTACACCAAATTGAAAAAGTAAACGAAAGAAGAAAAAAAATCGCATGAAATGTGCGAATGCCGTCGAACTAATTTGGCAGATGTGAACATTGAAAGTCATAATCTTTGGCATACAGAACCAACGAAAGACAATCTCAGTTGAACGAGAAGAACATGTGGTGCAATTATGACATAATATGCACGGTGTCCAAGTGTTCGCAATGATAGTGGAATGTGCTTAAAAGAATTGTAATGGGTGCGCGTGGCGTGAGAGGCCCCAATTGGAATAAGAAACCGAAAAAAACAAATCAAACTCGCTCACTCTCTCTCTCTCTCTCTCGCGCGCAAAATTCATTCGCCCTGTGACACACCGTGCGATTTGTATCAGCTGCCGTCAAGACCACAAGCCATAAATGTTTTAACGTGACTGATTTTCCATTTACGCAATTTTTACATTTTAAAAAGATACACACACACACACACACACACTGGGCTGGCTAGATAGTAAGCCAGTGAGTTTTTGTTGCCTTTTTGTCTCAGTCAGTTTTTTTCTTCTATCTGCAAATGCGCACCGTTTGTCGTCGTGGCTTTCGTGTGAAACTCACGAACTGATTCGTTTAACGGTTCTTAACTCAATTTCATTCGTCCATGCGCGCGCTCTGACATTTTTCAACAACGGGCTTTTTCAAAATGTGCGATATTTTTTCCGTTTTACTATTAGGTCAGTGCATTTTTTTTCCAGCTCGCGCAAATGTTTCACTTTTTTCTCACATAAGCTTCTAGCAACGAATAAAAAAGTGCTAGTTAATGCGTTGCTCAAACTATTAAACAAGAAGACGAAGAGAGAAAAAAGAGTATGGTTTGCGACTGGGTGAATGTGAATGGGAGTCTCGTTAAAGGTTGAATGAATTAAAAGACAGAAAGAAGAAACAAAATATACTGCAATGACAAACGGCTGCGAATTCAAAGGAATTTTCAAACACACATAACTGCGTGTTTTATCCGCCATCGTTTATTTTGCTTTCATTTGGGTTAATTTGTGCAATTTGCAATTATCCGCTTAAGTGTAATTTTAATAGAGCACAAAACCGTGCAGCAGTGAACTAGGTCTGCACTGCGCCCAAGAAAATACCATTCTTCCACACATTTCAAATGGGCCAAATGACCTTGAATCCTCTGAAATGTGGCCGATTACGGGCAATTTGAAGCTTTCAATAGTCGAGCGAAAATTGACATGGATTTTTGGTTGACGCGAGCGCGATCGAAGTGAAGGAAAATCATTTTTTAACATAAACAACACATTCATGTCGTCAGTTTGACAGTTCGAGGACTTGTGTCTGTGAGCGCGATATCAACAACTGATAATGTCATTGTTGATTTATTCACTTGTAAACAATCATGATCAGCGTTTTCTTTAAGACGTTGTCGTTAAGAATCTCAGTTTGATTGGATCAAATTGCTGCTGAACGGCTGTTTATCAAAGCGCAGCAGCCACAATTCCGCTATCGTTGTCTTCGCTGCGTGATCACATGAGCACACACACAATCAAGTGAAGAAAAAAAACAACAAATCGAGCTGTGCAAATGTGTATCTAATTTTAATATTTTTCTTATAAAATGCCAGCATTTTTCGTACATTGTGGTAAAAATGGCTTCGAACCGCCGATTGCCGTTTTCATGCTCACTCACCCTCTCTCTCTGCGTCTGCAGCACAACTGGAGATCATAAATTCGTGTATAATTGGTGCAATTAGTTATTACATTTTTGTAGCACATTTTTTTTCAGCTCTCCTTGCATATATGTATGTACGTTTGACAATTTTTAATTGTAATTGGTTACGCTTTTTGATATCTTATGAGCATTATTATGAGAGTGCACAGCAGAGAGAGAGAGAGAGAGATCCAAAAATAGATATCGTTTGAATGGGTTCAGATAATTTTTGTGTCGAATATTGAATGGGTTTGATAATTATTTTTTTTTCGCTATCGCTTGGCACAAACAGTGCACCAAAGTTTCTTGTGATTGTTCGTTCGGCATATTATGTGCGTTGCCATTGTGGTTTACCTCGTAATAGAAATTAGACGTTTGTGTGTGTACCTATTAATTTACATAAATAATAATTGTCGCTTGGTGTGTGTGTGTGTTGAAGCGAAAGCGTATGGAAAAATGTGCCCAAACTCTGAACACCACAAAGTTATTCGCACGTTTTTTTCTTCTTTTCAGAAAAATTCCAAAGTAAAAAAGAGCAATTCCTTTGTTTCTACCAAATTGATCCGATTTAGTCACATGTCCCCCGAAAAATGTCCATATCATTTTGCAACTTGCATCAATTAAAACCAATGCACAAAATTATATTGCATCATTCGTTTATTTCTTCTTTTATTCTATGCATGAACATGAATGAATTATTGTAGCTTAAATATGAGGGTAACATTTCGTTGGTCCGTTTTGAACATCATGAATACATTGCGTTGTGTTTGCTCGAATAATTCGGTGATGAAGCGGCTAAGCTGCGACAGAACTTGACTGAGCGGTTGCAGTAGTCTGAAATGTCGACGTGGTGGCCGGTGTTGTTGTCGATGTGACATATGCTTGTGCCTTCAATTTGATTTCTTGAATTTTCAATTTTAACTTGGCCAACTCTTGGAATTTGCAAATTTTGTAGCGCCATATACTCCATGGCGACAACAGCAAATCATCGCACGATGCTAAGCCGAATTCAGCGTCAACTAATGCCTGTTGCAATTCTTGCTATAAATATTTAAACAACAAAAATGATGATGATTTCATTTGAAAACACTTTAAGTTCAAATTAAATATACCTGAAGCTCTGGCGGCAATTCGGTTACATTCACTTTTGAAATTGCGTTATTCACCGCAACGTTGACGGCATTTTTCGATGATTCTTGCCCGATTAACCAACCAGAGGCAGCGGCTGGTGGTGCAAATAAATTCGTTATTTCAGCTGGCGCCGGACCCAATTGGGCACTTGTATCAGACACAAACGCAAACAAAGCAATCGCACCGAACAATGTTAGATTCATTCTGAAGACGACGAAATCAAATTCCAACTGAACGCTCGAATTTAAGAGTTGTAAATTTTCGAAATTAATTTTCACGTCTTTTTCCTGAATTTCGATTAAGACTTTTGAATTCGTTCCTTTGAATTCTTAGCTTTGAACCACGGATTAGATCGTAGAATAATCACAACTGATAACTGCATCGAACTTCCCATTCGATTTTATAGCTGAAAACTATCTCGCAGAAATTGATAAGAAACTGCATCGTTTGTTTATCTCGGCCAAAAAGAAGGCATTGAGGCTTTGCACACTGGCTAAAGCACCATAAATTCGAATATTTGTGCATTGTTCATTTTTTCGACAATGAGATCAAACGGTGCGATAAATAAAATTGTGCAATTGAGATTAACGGAGTTAGAAAAGCGAGATAAAATGCAATTAATCCCAAACTAAACGTAAACATGTTCGCATTGCTTGTGGTTCGCTCGATGGCGATGATTCACTCACGGATCTCATACATTTGCGTCAGATTCTGGATTTGAAACAATGCCAACGGAATGAAAACTGATTTAAAGCCGTTGTGATGTCATTCAATACTTGTTCCTGTTGGGCGATTTAAAATATTCCGAGTGAATTCAATTGCAGTTCCTTCACATACATTTTTCGTCTTTTCTTGTTGCTTTGTCTAAAAATCCAAATCAAATTATATAATTGAATGAAGCGGTATTTCATTCAATTTCGACTGCGTTCGACTGGCTGATTTGCTCATTTGCATCGAAAACAATGTGCCACAATGCATAAAAATGTGTAAATGTATCATTTATAAGCAATTAATACGGTTTGTGTTGTCATAGGCACACGATGTGTATGGTATGCAATCTAACGCCTATGCATCATCGCACCAAAGAGAGGAAGAAAAAAGCTCGTGCACACACACACACACTTGCCATATCGATTAATGTGCCAGCATTAAAATCAAATTTGTTTTAACCTACGGACATGCGTGAATAATAAACAAATAAATTTTCGATTGAAGTGAAAAATGAATGCATAGGTTTAATTAAAATGCCACCATTGAGAGTGTGTGTTTTTGTCTCACTGCATGCCTTAGGCTCAATCTTTGGTTTCACAAATGTCACACGAATGAAAATAAAAAATGTATTTTCATCGCTGCCATAATTCTAGACGTCTATCTAGTTGGGTATTTTCTTTGTGGAACACACCAAATTTTCAGCCACGTAATATTTAATGAGTAACATTTCCCAGCCGTTGAGCACACGCTTGTGCATATAAAAAATATGAAATAACGAAAGAAATTGCTCACGATTAGAGTAAATGAGATTGCAATTAAGTATTATTATTTAGACGCATTCATTCGTAAATATTTACAAAACATTTTCAACGATATAAATTTTCCGGTGTCAGTTCCAAAAGAAAGAAAAGAGAAAAAAAAAACAACGTCTGCCAGCATATGACTCAAGATCATGTTGGGTGAATGTGTTTTTTCCGCTGCTCTTTTATGTAAATCCGTTATGGTTTCATTCACAAATAAAAAATACGCAAATTTTCTTGTGTCGCTACCATTAACAGTGAGATAAACACGGAATACTAATTTTTCAATTGGAGTGTGTTGTGCGTCGTCGTCGTCGTCGTCGCCGTCATCATTGTTGTCGTCGTTTTTCTAGCAAATGGATTTCATCAGTAGCACACGTACTTATTTTTTCGGCGATTAAATTTCACTTTTCATGGAAATTTTTTGTGTACAATCCCCATTACATGGCATCTGTTCCGTTCAAATGAAAGCGATCAATGGATTTGGCGTCGATGGAAGTATTGATTGATGTGATTTACATGCATCCGTGCAATTGAACCATTTTTTGTTGTTGTTGCGCTGCTTGCCCAATGCAATTTATTACGATTTTATGCGCGTTTGTATTTTATAACCATCGAAAATGTCAGGAAGCACCACACAACTCGAATATTTCATCACACGCAAATTTCTTCGCACTTTTTCGCAATTGATATTCAATGAACGGTGCTTGTCGCTCTTTTTTCATCGTTTTCGATAGCAGTAGGGATTTCAATTGGGCGTTTAATCGACCGCTTCAGCCTAATCATTTTTTTAAATTTTTCGTTATAAATTGACCGTCATCCAACCGAAGAAGCATCAATCCGATTTGTGCACTCATTTGTACAGTTACATATTTTCATTACACTCTTCAGGTCGATTTGTTTTGAAGTTTTTTTCTTCTTCTTCCTACCAAGTGCAAAAAATGGCTTTCGTTAAGGTTGGTTTACAACACAGTGTGTGATTTTCAAATTGAAAAGTTTTTGTTTTTGCTTGAAAAGCACAACGGCTCAGTTTGTAGTGCATAAATACAGGCTATTTATTTATCTCCGTTCCACATTTGAACGTTTTAGTTTGAACGTTGGTTTTCTAATGGATTTATCTCTCTTTGCCCCTATTGCTAACGTGTATTTTAGACTTCGATTGTTTTGGTTGCTTTGTTTGGTGTTTGTATGTGCAGTGTTTTGGTGCCGGGTGTCGCTCCACCACTCGCTCCAATTGCACAATTTGCTCCGCGTGTTTTAGCTGGCCCGGCTGTTGCTGTTCATCCAGAACCATATGATCCAGCACCACAATACGCTTTTGCCTATAATGTTCAAGATCAACTTACCGGTGATCACAAAAGCCAACAAGAAACTCGTGATGGTGACATTGTCAGAGGTATTGGTTTTTTTATTGTGTTGATGGAATGGAATATTAATGTAGAAAAAATGACTTGAATTTAGGATCGTACTCACTTGTTGAGGCCGATGGCAGTTTACGTACTGTTATTTACACAGCTGACCCCTTGAATGGATTCAATGCTGTTGTTGAAAAGACACCACTCGTCCATAAGGCCGCCGTTGTTCCAGCCGCTCCCATTGCTCCATTTGCCCCAGTGCCACATGCATTACCAGCACCTGTATTCCCAGCTCCAGCCGCTGTGCCGGCATTCCCCGCAGCCGTTCCGGCTCCAGCATTCCCATTTGCATCGCGCGTTGTTGCGCCAGTAACACGTGTTTTCTAAAAATAAAACACACCAACCGAGACCGATCCATTGAAAAAAAAATTGATTCATATCAACAAACCCTAGCTAAAAATGTGTGCTTTCTCAATTACGTTGTTATAACGTTGTCGGCAACTTGCGGACAAATCACATGATTAAGTGCTCCGTAGACGTAGAGAGAGAGATCAAACGCAATCACAGAGCCTTTGAAAGACTTCTTTTTTTTGTATAATGTTATCGAGAATGTAGTGTTGTTGTTATGTAATTCAATTTTTATTATTATCGTTAGTTTGTTATGTTTAGATCTATTTGCTCGAAGTATGAATGGCAATTCATCGTTTAGAGATTCGAATGGTGAATCGGAATATGTTAAGCGAAAAAAATGTAGAAAGAAAGACAAAAAAACGTATTTATATAATGAGAATTATTAAACATATCAAAACATATCATTTGCGTTTGAATTATTTTTTTTTCTTCAGCATACTTTGGTTGTATGTTTCCTAAATTGGGGCCAGTGATAAGGCAGTTTTTTTGGACGACAAGCAACAACAACGAAAAAAAGAATTGGTTGTCGAATCAACCAAAATTGACCAACTTATTCGCATAAATCATAGTGGTTAACACGTTTATTTTCATTCCCAGTGACACATACACACATATTCAGTAGAAAATTGTTCTCTTTTTTTGCTTTAAAAAACCGATATTTACGGTTTCCTTAGCGGCTAATAAAATACGGTGTTCTTTTTTTATCAATATCACAGTCATTGGCTGTGTGCGGCGCAATTCTGCCGCTTTTTTCTTTTCACTTTCCGTTGAATTTATTGGAGCCAATTGTGTACTATGCGCGCGATCTCTGGCGCGCGCGCTCGGTTTTGTTATACATGTTTCTGTTTTATTCGCCAACTCTAATGTATGTTAACAGCTGCGATTGTAATTCAATGCGGACGGAGTGTTTTTTTCTTCTCTTCATTGTGTCTACTTTACTGTCTCGATGGAAAAGGCGGAATTCTTACGATGACTGGCTGGCTGCTTGGTTGGCGAAATGCGAAAAAAAGCCACGTCACATTTTACGTTTGATAAAGGTGCGATAAAAAAAATACTCTATTTTCAGTTGGGGCTACACGTATGTGTGTGAGTGTGTGTGTTTCTATCTGTCTCGTTGCTTTCAAAGCATGTTAAAATGTCAAACAATTTATTGTGTCGGAGTGTGTTTGATACATTTCTGTGTTCTCACTCTTTCTCTGTTATTATGTGCCACCTATTACTGTCTGCCAAAAGAAACGCTTTTTATACTTCGCCCGGCATTCACTCGGTCTCTCTCTCTCGTGTGCCGTGATTCTTTTCATCAATAAATTAATTTATGCAACTGCGACGTCGACGACTGCAAAAAAGACAAAACGGAATAAAAAAGAGAAACCCATCTCAAGCAACTGAGCGAGTAAAAGCGAAAACTCAAACAACAAACGAACTGGCAAGATATGATTGTTCAATTGTTCACGAGAGATGCCGGCTAATCGAATGATAGCATTTTAGTTAAATATTCTGTTCGCCGTCATTGTCACTCTGTTTGGCTCGCCTAATCTTCCATCGCCTTTGTTGAAGTGTCTCTCTTTGATCATCGTGTGTTTTTTTTTCTGCATCGTTTTGCATGAGAGCCGACCCGGCAACGATGAGATCGGGTGCTATGCAAGTCATACTCAAACTCTCTGCACGTTGTCTCAATCTAAAACCCGGCTCGTTTATTCTATTTGAATTCGTTTGTTTGACATGCAATTGACAATGTCATTTCAAGCATTGCCTGAGACATGGTGACGCGCTTGCATTTTTCCGTAGTATCCAGTTAAATTATACATAAAGCGTATGTCATAATAATTCTGCATTCGTGGGCTGACATAGAGATCGAGATGAGAGTGAGGCAAACGACAACGACGACGACGTCGACGATGATGACTGTAGATCCAAAAATTGAGTCGACAAGATCCAAAAATAAATTATGGCTCTCAGAATTGTGTGTATTTATTCAATCACCGTATAGAAACAGGGTCTTTATTCTCTCATGTATTTTACGATTGCACTTTAAATGCTCTCTGTTGATTGTTTAGCGCAGATTAAAGATTGAGATGAGAGAGAGAGCGAGAGAGAGAGAGAGAGAGAGAGAGAGAGAGAGAGAGAGAAAGAGAGAGAGAGAGAGAGAGAGCAAAAAAAGAAGAAAAAATTGGACATTTATGCGGAAAAAAAGAATAATAATCAATATGACATTTGCAAAACGGGCAAAGCGATTGGGGCAGATAAAATCAGATGACAAATGTCGCTCGAGAGCGAAAGATGCATTTAATTTGGCCAGAAATGCCGGTTTGCGCGCATTTCATTTGGCATACAACCAAACCGGATGAGATCAGCAATTTTCTGGTAATGATTTAACTAACAATGGCCCAAAATGTCTGAAATGTCTCTGCAAACCCGCAGTCCGATTGCATTAAAATGACTTTGAATTGAGTTTGACTTTGAGAAAATGCAACAGCGGACGGTCGGACCTCTTTTTCTCTCTCTCCGCTTCTCATTTATGCCGTGTAAATCACTTTACAGCCGAATGGTTCGACATTCAAAGTCTTTGAGATTCATTTGCGGCAGCAATGCCGAATGAAGGTATAATCTGGTTTCTTGAAAATTAGATCTTTTTTGCCTTCTTGTTGTCACATGTGTAGTCGATCGTTAATTATCATTTTCAACGGACATTTTATTCGCATGTTTACAGACGGTTTGGTACACGGTTTTTTTCTGTTTGACTCTCTCTCTCTCTCTCTCTCTCTCTCTCTCTCTCTCTCTATCTGCCTCGAATTGATTCATAAATTCAGGAGAATTTCAATGGGTTTTGATGCACATTCCAAAATGTGACATAAAAAAAAGAACCATTTCAAAAACATCATGTTCACGCTGATTCGAATCGATTGCATTCGATTTAATTTGTTGTTCGTTTCTTTGTTCGTTACGCAAATTACCCGATTGGACTCTTTTGCTTACATACATTTGACACATTGTGCCGAGAGCATAGCGAACGGCAAGCGCGGAAAAATAGCAAATCAATTTATTAATAATAAATTGTAGCATTTTTTTCATTCTCTCTCTGCTTCTGCGGTGGAAATACAATGTGCGTTGTGTCATTTAGTTTAGTCATGTGCTTTGGGCTTTGAGCTTTGATTTTCATAAGTAAGCCGGACCGACGAAAGAAGCAAAGGAAAAAAATAACACGAGACGCGGGCATGTAATTAGACACACCACGTTTTGAACCACGATGGCGTCAGATTCAAACAAAAAATATTGTACATATAAATTTATTATCATTTATTGATCAATCCAAATACCAAAAATGGCTATTTAGATCGCTCGAAAATCAACAAACACTCACACACACCGAGAATGAACAGTGCAAGCAGAGAGAAGAGAAGAAACAACAGCAAAAAAAATTGTTATGAATTATGGAAGTCATAATGGCTTGAGGTAAGAAACTAAAACATTTTGAATGCGATGCAATCCGCATTTAATTGAATTCACCTGTTTTCATGCTGGGCACAAATGCATCCAATAGAGTCTCGATTGTTGTTTGCTTCGGGCTAAATGTGTGTGTATGTGAAGCGATTCTGATTTTTGATGCAATTGAAATTCCGATGTTCAAGGATTTGTTGTTTTTTTTCTTCTTCATCGTGTGCTTACGAGAGTTCCAGCACAAAGCCGATTAAACCAAAATCAATCGGGTGTTCAGCATTTTGCGGTTGCCTCATGTAAAACAATCGGTCGGTTGATGGCAGTGTCCCCCCGTAAGCCAAACGTGTATGTGTGTTATGGACGATGTTGTTTTTATTTTATTTTATTTTTTTCTCTGCATTATTATTGCCAGCCATTCAAAATCACGTCATTCGGTTCAGTCGAGAATGCGACTGCTCATTGTGAATTCTTCTTGCACAATTATGTAATCACTAAAAACGCTATAATTTACGACATTAGAATGAAATGCACAAGTGAGACTTCAATCAAGCGTACAATTTGGTTTTCGTCTTTTTATTTCGTTTCCTTCACATGGAATTAATTCAATCCGTCTCTTTTTTTCCTCGTTCGCTTTCATTTTTCTGCGTCGCATACTCACTTAATACGATCGCTCGCTTGCTTGCCCATTCTTTTTTTTAGTTTATGACATTTTTTGCCATCTATTTATTTGAATTAAGCGCTCGAACAGCATTGAGTGGACGAAGAGAAAAGAAAAATTTCCAAACTTTATCGCACAAATTTACACATCCGAAGCGCTGCGTTTTTGTTTTGTCATTAATAATCCCTTTAAATTGAAGAAAGTGACCTTCATCAAAATACCAACGACGATTTTCGAATGAAATGCTCTTGACAAGACTTTTTTTTCTCTTGCTTTTGTGTGTATGTGTCATACGGTCCATGGAGAATTTTGGAACTTTTTTTCTTTATGGAGATATGCGACGAATCGAGATCATTAAAATCAATGGGCGTAATAAAAGCAAGTTAAGTGCCCGTAAAAAAGCGCAACTCATCGAATGAATTAGATTATGCGATTTAGTTTGGCAAGGCGCGATTGGTTCGCATGCTGTTTCGTATTTTAATTGAATCGCTGGTGATGGGACATCCTGAAAATCCTGTCTAACGAGCATTTTATTGATCACTTTTTCTCTTCCATCCCATTCCATTGCCGACACGAATAAAACACAATTGAGTTCAATTTTTTTTAATACTGACATTCCTTTATTCAGCTAAATGCATTTAAATTAAGAAAGATGTATTTTTTTGTGTTTGTTGTGTTTTTGCTCATTGGCGCATTATAAACGTATACAAAGTAGCAAAATTAGAAAAACGTGTGTGATGAGAGTGAAGGTGTTTTGGTTGATGTATTTTTTTTTGTTCATTTTGTTTAGTACATAAAAGTAATACACATGAGATGATATTGATTTCATTTCTTTTTGACATAGTTTTTTCTAAATTGTTTTGCCAATTTTCGCTTATTTCTCTTAAGCTGGATGAAAGTATAGATAGAAAATTGATGATAGAGAGTGATCGAATCACTAGCGCAGCCGCAACAGACCACTCCGTGATCGAATCGAAATTTTTTTTTTGTCACATTGCTTAACAAAGAAGAGAAATAAATTAAAGTCCTAGCACAATGAGAATGAAGGCATTGAAAATAGAATATTAAGCATTAAAAACGTGGTTTTTCTTTTAAACTTTCTTTCTTATCCCGAATTAATTTTGCGGCGGTGATTTGAGTTTTTGTCTCTTTTACTTATGATATAAACCAAGACCATGATAAGCTGGAGCAGCTAGAACGGCTGGCGCATGCGCAACAACGGCTGGAGCGTGTGCAATATATGGTGCAGCATGTGCAATGGGTGCTGCATGATGTGCAACTCCAGCTTTCTCAACAACTGCGTTGAAACCGTTGTGATCGTCGGCTGTGTAAGTCACTTTGCGGATTGTACCATCGGGTTCAGTCAACGAGTAACTGCCGTGGACAACACCATTTACCAAAGTCTCTGATGCATGCTTATTGTCACCTGTGTGTGGGTCGCTCACTCCATAGCTGAAGCTGTTGAAATAAACAAAAAAACAAACGGCATAAATGTCAACGAAATGCTTTGAGGGTTTTTCCAATGGCGCAAACAGACCAGTTTGATTTTAGAAAAATGTTGAAACTGAACGGAAATTGAAATTGAAATAGAATTTTGAAATAGAAAAGCACGAAACTCGACTTAGAAATGAGTAGAATGCCAGATTTTCTCCAAAAACTTGAAAATTAATCTAAAAAAAAAACATGAAAATCGACGAGTGAGAGAAAAAGTGCGGGATTTTCCTTACCTATAGTGTGGGTTTGGATCGACTGGCTCGTGAACGACGTGCTTGGCAATAAGTGGAGCATGTGCAACAACAGGTGCATATGGAGCTGCATGAACAACAGGAGCTGAATGAACAACAGCAGGTGCGGCAAAACCGTATCCTGGATAAATTGGAGCGATCGGTGATGCGGTCACCAAAGTGACAAAGCACATAAAAAGCACGACCTATTGGACCGGAAAAACAGAATTTTTTTTATTTTTTTCTCGTTAAAATCGCTTTTGGAAATTCGCAAAATTTCTTTGATATTTTATATTTTTCTCAATGAAAAAAATGCACTTTTTTCCACGCAACACAATCCGAATTTTAGTTTTTTGTTCACGAATTTTGCCAAATCCATTTTTCGATCACTTCCAAATTCAACTTATTTCGTTTTTCTCGATGGAAAAAATAATCAAACACTTTGCAACCGAACAAAAAAAAAACGTTCACTTGAAAATTTTCTTTCTTTGGAAAAACGCTTTTCGATTGGTTTTACCTTTGTGTTCATGATGACTATATTGTTTAAATCACAGCTTTGGTTTGAGTCAATTGCACTTTGGAGTACGGAATTTATATGTTCTGGCGTGGTACGGTTTGGCGTTTGGCGTTCGCATGTGTTGGTGCTGTGTATGTTTGAGGATAGATCGAGCATATAATGCACACACATAATACTTGTAATCCCACCAAATGGCAAAAAAGCATGTGGCACACGAAAAAAAATGATTATTATTGTTTTCAAATGTAATACATAGTCACACTCAAGTCAGTTTTCAGTAAGTACAATAATAGAGGTCTAAAAGATGCAAACAAATATAATCCATGCGCTTTGGGTGCAACAGAGCAACCAAACCAGCAAGCTGTCGAGTGCAGCAAGCAACATGGAAAGAAGAAAAAAATAGCGATCGTGAGATGAAAGATGAATAAGGAAAGACATAAAAGCATCGCATTTCATCGTATTTAATAACAAACGCGCATTCATTAAAAAAAAACACACAACAACGACTGAGAAAAAAAAGCATTAAGTAAATATAAAATGTGTGCAGCAACTATCTCGTCTCGCACTCTCCACCGTTGTCGTCGTCGTTGTTGTCGTACACCGTCGTGTCTCGTACTCACATTGCCGCTATAGGTAAAAATCTGTATGTAATCGTGGCAAATAAAAAACACAGCGACTCCATTGACGATGGAAAATGCAGTGTGTACTACAAATTCGCTGCTGCTTGAATGGGCTGGCTGATAGGCAGTGAGACAGAGACAAAATACTCGTCAACTTTGCCAGAGCCAGGCTTGTGTAGTTGGATGCGGAGAATTTTTCATCACAAAAATAAAAACCAATTTTAATGTGTGAGAACAAATGATCCACATATGAATGATCGATGCTGCATAGAGGCTGGCGCACACACACATGCACATACACACAATCAACGCAACTCGTAGTTGCACGTAGTATCTGTTTCTGTACGTACACATACGGTGCGCGAATGACACTTATTTCTCGCATAGAAGAAAAAAAAAATGGAAAATGAAACGAAATGCATTACATGCACCACATATAATATGCAATTATTTACATTTAATTAGATCTTTAAATGTTATGGCATGCAATGACATAAGAAATTTGGTGTGCTGAAACTGTGCGCGCCGACACACAGCCACACATACACACACGGCATCGGTGCTATGTGCCGCAGCAAGATAACAACGAGTGAGTCAACTCTCGCGGGCGACGAAAGGGAAATTAAAACGTTGTTATTAATAATAAATACCAATAATTTTTAGTGGGCACATTACAATTATTATTTATTCAATTTTATTTCTTCCACCCTGTCTTAGCTTGTCCGCTAACCATATGCATTTCAGTTTTGTTGTTGCTTTTGCCGATTTTATCTAATCGATTTATCTGAATTGTGTTATGTGTTTTTTTCGCTGATTTGGTGCACAAATGTGCACTACATTTCGATTTATGATTCATGCAGCTGAAAATTGGCTGAGCAATGAGCATGCAATGTACGTGTGATTGTTGCCCATGTGTGATCTTCGTTAAAAGTGTTGTTGTGTGCATTTTGTAAGATGTTTGTAATAATTAAAATAGCTCAGCGAAAGAGAGAGAGAGAGAGAGAGAGAGAGAGAGAGAGAGAGCGATCGGCATGGACTGGGATATGGTGTGCATTCTGTGGCATGCTATAATTTTCCACTGTAGTATGTCGATACACATTTATCGATCACAATCATATTCGCAGATCACCATTTTTCCTATTTCGTTCGAAAGAAATCCAATTACGTACGGCATTATATCAATCGAATTGCGATTGAATCACTTATTTAGCTAGGCAAAAATTGAAATGGAGTAAAGGAAAAAAGGTGAGAAAAATCGGTTTTTATTGACGATTATTACCGTAGAAATGTCTGTATTGAATCGTACATTGCACACCAGATATGCATGGTATCGAATGGCGCAAAACAGAAAAACCAATGGATTACGTCGATTATTGCGCGCGCACTCGCGGCTACTTAGCGATAACAGAACAATGGTTCAATTGAATATCATTGGCGATCCACTTTTTTTTGCATATGGCAATTGCAATTTTGATGTTGCCTGTCCATACCATAAATGTCACCCATGTTAAACGTGTCACCTATATACCATTTGCATTTTTTTCCTTTGTATCACTTGTTTGTTTTCTTTGGTGTGATTTGCTTGGCTTTGGCTGAGGTTCGTCATACAGCCTTGTCTTGCCTTGCCTCGTGCGCCCGCGCCTCTCTCTCTCTCTGTTTTCCTCTCGCGTTACATTATAGTCTAATGAATATTTTTGCATAAAATGTTGCACACATGTTCAAGTTGTTGCCGATCGAACTGGTCGCATGTCTATACTTGTTTCCAATTTTCTAATTATAATTAGCTGAGACACGCATTTATCACAAAGTGTCTATATTACATCGGTTTATGTCAGCATTTTTTTCTTGTTGTCTTTGTGTGGCTTCGACGGTGACGGCGAAAAATCGCGCCAATTCACTGATTTTTACCATTTCCCAGAAATCCGAGAGAGAGAGAGAGAGAGAGAAGTGACCGCTCCAGCACGACACTTATGACACTTATGTGAGGAAGATGTCAAAGCTCGTTGATGTATTTTCATGCATTTTATCTTGTTAATCAACGTCTTTGATCTATCTTCCGTTTGACTCATCTATTTCAAAGATGTGAATAGATATTTTCTGGTTGTTCATTGAGAGCAGAGCGAACACAAAAACAAATACGCCATCGGAACAGTCAATTAATCACATCGAATTTTGCACTTTTGATGGACCTTGGCAACAGAACGTTTTTGTTTCGAGTGTAGACGCGTTGTAAGCGGTTTTTTTCTTCTGAAAATTTCATTCGATAGTGCTGCTTTGGTGCGCCAAATCGCTAGACTTTTTGTCTGTCACATTTGACATTTTGAATAACGATGAAAGTGCGAAAAAAAATGTTCATTTTGGCAGGTCATTCATTTTTATGATGCGGTAAATTCTAATTTTATTACCTCGGACGAATGATCTGAACGAACGCATTTTCGGTCGGCGACACAGAAAACAAGCCAACAGGCAATAAAAGAGATGATTGTCTGTGTACGCGAGCCAAGAAAAAACGAGAGATGCTTTTTCTGAGACAACAAGACAAAGTGACGACGAACGAAAAACGATGCAACAGCAACAGCACAACGAACTAAAGGAAATAAATTTCGAATTGAAAAGAAAAGAGAGAAAGAAAAAAAAATCTCTATTCAACAACACATTTTCATGTTCAAGCGGTTGAGACACATCGAAGTGCGAGTGAAAATGGACATGTTAACATCTATTTCGTACCGACGTATGTTGTGCTTCAATTTGACCGAATGCTCGGGCTGCTGCACAATTTTTGGCATTTGGTCAAAGTCGACTCGATGCCAAGTAAATTGCGATGGTAGTTTCGATGTGCTTGCTTCCCATATCGTCCGCCCCGCCGAATTCGATTTTTCTCACTACGCAAAATATATCGCGGTGATAGATGGAATTTCGCAGAAGAATATGCACGAAGCGAGATGGCGAGAAATAGCTACAAAATTGCTATGAATAATTATGGGAAAATTATATGATTCGCTAGTTATGCGGTTGTGTATTTGTTTCTCTCTTGTTTTTTCTACCTCTTCTTGGGTGCACATTGGCTAAGATCAGATGGAACAACTACCGAACACTGGCGAGCACAGCCACAACAGCAACACGGCGGCGGTAGATGGTGTTTGAAGCAGTGCAGCTGCATGTTCTACATGTTTCATCTTGATATATTATTCGATTTGCAATTAATGTTTATCGTTGTTACGTGATCAGGATTTAGCTAATTCATATACTCAATATATGTTGTTGTTGTGACTGAAGCTGAAAAATCACTTCGAATTCCAACACACAAACAACCTTGAGCACATGCAACTGTGACTGACCACTTTGCAATACCCACAATGTTTTTATCGATCTTGTGTGTTTGTGTGTTGTTTTCTGTCTTCTGTGCGCCGTTCTTTGTTGATTCATAACTTTTTTTTTTCATTCGAACAGCAATTTCATTCACAACGATTTTTTTCCCCATTCGTTGATTGATAGATATGGAATAGCCATGCATTGAAGGCATTTGGCGAATTAAAATTGAACGAAGAAAAAACCTGGTCCAAGATAACAAATTTTGTATAATTTTCCAAACAAAACTTCTAGTTTCTCGACACAAAATGTCAAACAACCTACCGATTAACGAGCGAATGAGAAAAAACAACCGGAGAATTGGTTCAAACAAAACGAGCTCTGATAACGATTTTTGGTGCACCGTCAGACTCGGATTCGGTTATTAGGCCTTACAGAAGAAAAAAAACCTATACGAGAGCGAAAAAAATCACACTAATTGAATAAAACAAATCTCGTGCTGATATATTTTTTCTGCTTCATACATTTGTTTCACTAATTAAATCGGGCGTTTTTTATTCGTATTCATTGCAATCGGCAGAGTGAGTTGAATGAACATGAATAGCGAAGAAAAAAAAATTGTGTATCTCATGCCTGAATACACCATTTAATGTATGCTCTAGTTTCGAATCGTAGTGATTGTCTTGTTCGCTATGACTTTGCAATTCATTAAATCGGATTAGAAACAGAATCTCGGAGTGATTCGAAATAGCCAGTGACAAAACCGCAAATTAAATGTAGGAATGAGCATGAGTGTGTGTGTTTTCATGCAGAGAGGCGATTGAAGCTGGGTCCATTTTAAGAATTCAATAATAATTGACAGAACAAAAAAAAGCGAAATCACAACGTGAATATTTTTGCAACATTTGCAAAATGCCAACGACCATTCAAACGACGCAACAGCAATGACAATAAAAATAGACGGAGCGAATGAAACGCGCGAAGAGTGAAGAAAAAATCTCAACCCTGAAATCTGAAGTCGGCGGCAGTTTGGGTATTACATCCAAAAAATCAACTACAACCGCTATCCAATTCAGAATTTCGGCTTTGTTCTTGAAAATCTCATTAGGTTTTTTCTTGTGAGCGCATAAAAATTGCCACGTGAATTTTCGATGTAATTACGATGCAAGGCTGATCTATGCCGAGCACACGCA